AGGGAGAACAATTTTTTGAAGCCACCCTAACTAAAACTCATGCAGCAGAGGGGACCACTATTCATTATACTCCCGTTCTCTTTGACCGGGGAGGAGAAGGCATATACACCAAGTTACAGTCAGCTGGATGCCAAGGCACTGTCGGTAAACCCTCCTGTTGGCCCATTAAGGCCCCTACAGGGGTCTCTGATGGTGGAGGACCCACTGATGCTGTCAAGCATCTTCAGATAATCAAACTTTTGAAACCACAAATCCCTGAGCTCACATATTATCCCTTAGTGCTGCCTAAATCCCAGCTCCCAGATTTAGATACCAATACATTAGATACTTTGGAAACTACCTTCTCCTTGCTTAATAATTCCAACCCTACCCTTTCTGGTGATTGCTGGCTCTGCATGACTACAGGGGCAATCATGCCTATGGCAGTTCCTATTAATTCTATCATAGACAATGATAATACATGCCAACCCGGATTTCCTTTTAAAGTACAGCCTATAAGCACTTGTACATTATGTCTTTTAGGCGCGATGCAGAATAATACCTATGATATTGATGTTGGAGTTACTTCCTTTGGAAATTGCTCAACAGTAAAAAATTATTCCTCACCCACCCCATCTCTTTGTCCCCCCAATGGCACAGTTTTTATGTGTGGAGGAAACTCAGCCTTCCCCAGGCTTCCAGCGAATTGGACCGGTGGCTGTGTTCTTGCCTTATTACTCCCTGATATAACTATTGTCCCAGGAGATGAACCTCTACCCATTCCTAGCCTAGACACCTTAGTCAAAAGACACAGGCGGGCAATACAGGCCTTACCACTCCTTTAAAAATAAAACAAGTCTGTTTGGCTAATTACTCTTGTGTCTGGAAAGTCCAAAGAGCATAACATCTGGTGAACTCCTGGTGAACTCCTTCCCACCCCATACTCCACCCCCCACTGCGTTAAAAGAAGTGGGAAGGGAAAAGACTATTTTGAAGGGACAAAAATGCACCTGCAGAAGTGGAGGGACATCTTACCACACTTGCCCTTACCCTCTAGTGTAGATAGGATGCCCTGCTAGCTGGTTCTCAGCACCCGTCTGTCACCTTCAATTGTGTCTCAATGGTAAACAACTACGTAACTTGTGGTTCAATTTTATAATGCCTATCTTCTCAAGAATGAAAATTCCACAAAATAAGGGGCCTATGGGTCTTGTTTACCACTGAATCTGGGGCCCCTGCACAGTATTTTATCCTCCAGTGGCCTACGTCCTCCAACCACACCCTACCTGCCTACAGTTAAACAAGATGTGATTTCTAATTGAAAGACGATGAGTTGATGAAATTGAAGGGAGATCAGTAGAGTAGAGGGGAGGGTGAAGGACGGGAAAGAGGGAAAGGGAAGTGCTGGAAAGTGACATTAGCCAGATTGTACAGTTACATGGTAACAACAGATCCCCACCATGCTGTACAACTACAATGCAAGGTAGAAAATGGGGAGAAACAAATAAGAGTTAGCTCAGCAACCCCTGAAGAAGTGCTAGGCTGCTGCCACTTCCTCACACTGAATATAGGTAACATTTGGGGTGTATCTTCAACTAGAAACTCAAGGCCTCCAACAGCATCATCTTTCTAAAATGATGGAGGTCATGTGCTTACTGTAAATGCCAGGTTTGCCATATGCATATTTCTAAATGGAGTTTCCTGCCCTTAACATAAGTAGAAAGAGTGGATTCACATTGAACTGCTCTACTTTAAAAAGAAATAGAGTAGCAGAAGCAGAAGCCAGATTGCAGAGAGTTGGAGAGTGAATTCACAAAAGGAGGAGGGACTGCTCTTATCTGGCCCAGAGTTTAAAAATCAGTCTTTGGTTTGTCGTATTCCTTACATTTTCATACCTTCTTCAATATTATCACTACAAATAATTTAAAATATAATTCATATTTTGGAAAAAGCCTAAGGTCACTTTGAAGATGTTTTTTTTACTATAGGCAATTCACATGTGAAAACCTTAAAGCCAGCTTTTCACACATAAAACATGCTTTACCCAAATTACATTGTTCTATTGTGTGCATGTAGAAATATGTAACAACAAATCCTACCGTTACGTGTAATTATAATGTACTCTGTTAGTCTGCTTTTTTGTCACTGTGACCAAAATATCCAACAAAAATTTGTTTTGGCTCATAGTTTTAGAGGTTCAATCCATGGTCAGCTGACCCATTTCTCTGGGCACAAGGTGAGGCACAGGTACAGCAGAAGGGCATGGCAGAGGAAAGCTACGTGGCAGTCAGGACGCAGAAAGAAAGCATGAGGTGCTTGGGACAAAATATAATTCCACAGGCATGCCTCCAATGGCCTACGTCCTCCAACCACACCCTACTGCCTACAGTTATTACCCAGCATAGACGCCTTTCAGATTATCAGTCACTCAAATGGATTGATCCACTGATTAGTTTACAGCCCTCATAATCTAATTGTGAGCCTTCAGCGGACACCTCACATCCAAACCACAACATGCACCAATAAAAAAAAAATGTAAAACGAAATAATTTTTTTAAAAATTAAAAACGTGTTAGCAAATGATAACATTTCAAAGACATTTCACTAGTTATCAGAGAAATATACATCCAAGCCATTTTATACCCATAAGATTGGCACAAACAAGTTTAAAGTTGGGGAACACCAAGTGTGAGGATGATACAGACCAACAAAACTCTAAACCCTTCTTGTGGGAGAGGCAACATAACACTGTGGCTGAAGGCAGGGAGTCCTGAGCCACTGGGCATGGCATCCAGTCCCGGCTCTGCCTCTGACTTGCTGTGTATCCCAGAAAGGTGTTTCCCAGAAGCACCTGACTTTGGGCAAGTTATGTATTATCTTGACATCATTCGTAAAATCTGAATGATGATATTAGAACCTTCCTCAAGAGGACTAATGGTTATTGATGAGATAACAAAACATGCTATATTATTTGCTAATGTTATTAAAACAGAGCAACTTTCACTAGTGCTAGTAAAGTTGAAGCTGTGCATAGCACACTCAGCAATTTTACTTTAATTGCATACCCTAGAGACATTCTTAGAGATGCATTCAGGAGGCATATGCAAGAATTTACATTGCAGCATGTTTGTCATGGAAAACTGGAAACAGTGAAAATATCCATCTGTGAATATTTCAGAAAAAAACATTCTTGGTGTATTAGAACTGGTTGCCAAAGATGGAAGGTGTTGTGAGGCCAAAGAAAAAGGCAAAGAGAGGCAGAATTACACATTTACTTTGTTAAGAACTGGCAGAGAGCAATGTGACTTCAGTGGCAGCAAGACAACAGGATCCCTGCACCCCTAAACATTAGGAAGGGGGTTGTATGTTAAAGTAGGCAAAGATGGGCTATGGTCAACTAGAATGTATGTGTTTTTTTTTCAAAAAGTATTAAGTTAAATATCAGTTAAAAAACAGTCTGGGCATCAGTGGCTGATAAGGCACGTTCAGCCAACTATCCTAACTGACTTTGTCTCACAGGGTTTGGGATGAGTGCTATTATCACCAGGTGGGAAAAAGGGTGATTATAACCCAAGATGGCTGTAGATATGTCAACATGGAACCCTACTGTAGGATAATAGATTTATCAAAATCTGTGGGATATTTATAAAAGAATACGATATAGCAGTGAAAAGAAATGTTATTGCAGTGGTTCTTGAACTTTAAAAGCATTATAATCACCCAGAGAACTTGTTAGAATACAAGTTACTGGGTCTGGGGTTGTAGCTCGGTGGTAGAGTACTTGCCTAGCACATGTGAGGCTCTGGATTCAATTGTCAGCACCACATAAAGATAAATAAATAAAATAAACGTATTGTGTCCAACTACAACTAAAAAAGTAAATAAATTTTAAAAGTATTGTGTCCATCTACAACTAAAAAAATATATTTAAAAAAAATTACAAGTTACTGGACCCCACTTCCAGAGTTTCTGATTCAGTAGATCTGTGGTGACCCCCAAGAATTTGCATTTCTCAAGTGATGTTGATGCTGTTGATCCAGGACTACACTTTTAAGAATTCTCTGAATTGAACAGCCATTAATCAGCATGGACAGATCTTACAAACAGAATGTTAAGTGGAAAAGACAAGTTGCAAAAGATGGCATACAATTTGATACCATATACCTAATTTTAAAACATAAAAAAAATTACATGTGTACATGTAGTGATAATCACAGGACTAGGACTGGAAACTATAGTTCTTTGGACCTAAACACCATTCATTCCTCATCACATGCTTATTAACAAGAGGCATCCTTTCCCTTTCAGAAACAACTAAATAGACCTAGATAGGTTTCATGTAAAGAACAGCAAAAGAAAAATCAGTTAAACTAACGCTTAGCCTAGGATAGTTATCAGGAAATCAGCAATGATCTCTTTCTGATATTCTTAAAATTGTAAAAATATCACACCTTACCTTTGCAGCATGTATTTCCTTTCAAAATATATATAAATAAAAAATCACAGGGCTGCATACTATGGGGAATTTGAAGAAAAGACAATTTGGAAGGGGAACACTATGTTTTCCCCTAATAGGAAAGTGAGTCCACAGAAGCTGTGCCTGGTGGTAAATACCTGGCAGAAAAGGCACTGCCTTGGAGTCTGGATAAAATCGTGGTTCCTTGAAAGCTACAGTGTGGGGAATGTGGAGGGTAAGGTCTGTTTCTGATTTGTCTGTGTATCCTGAGCTCTTCACATAGTAAGGGCCTGAGATATAATACACATATATAATATTTTTACATATAATATCATATACATATCTTCATAGCAAGGAGGAAGCTTCAACGACTACCAGTTCAGCAGTAAACTAAGGGGTCACTATTCGGGTACAAGCAAGGGACCGAGCCCTGGTAGTCTTTGAGGTCTTTGGAATTTCCAACAAAGGGCGCGGCTACTTCCGGTGCGGCGTCGGAATCTCTGGCCGGGATATGTGAGTTTCTGCGGGAAGGATTTAGAGAGAGGACCACTTCCTGCTTCTGGTTAGGGGAGGGTGCGGGGAAAGGAAATAGTTCGCGGAGCGGCGTCCTGCCTGCGCTAGCGGCGGCATAGGCGGAGGCAGGGAGGAGAGGAGGGCGGAGGAGGCGGAGGAGGCTGCGGCAGAGAAGAAAGTGTCAGAGCCGGTAAGTGAGCTGCCCTAGAGCCGCGGACACGGGACGGCGCGCCAGGTCTCGCTTTGCAAACGCGGGATCCCAAGTTGCCGAGCTGCCCGCTCGGGGTGAGCCAGAGCGTCGTCGGTCGCCTGTCAGTCGGCGCCGAAAAGAGGCTGTGGGGGCGCCGGGCCGGGCCTCGCGGGGCGCCGGGCTGCGCGCTCGCTGGCTGACAGCCTGTCCTGGACCCGGGGGAGGTGCCGGGGGTCCGCGCCCCGCACGGCTGCCCCCGGCGGTGCGGGAGGCGGGGAAGGAAGCGAGTCCCGGGCGTCCCGCGGAACCCTCGTCGGGCGAGATCCCGCCGAGTGGGTGGCCAGCAGCGTTTCTGGGGCCGAGGGAAGGGCTCGGGAGTCGGCAGCCGTCCTCTCCCTGCCCTGTGCCAGCTGCCGAGTGGTCGGGTAAAGGCAGTTGCCGCCCCCTGCGCCTGGTCACTGAGGAGCAAGTTCACACCCTTCAGGTCCCGTGTCCACCGCGCGTTCCCACCCGGCCCGTCCGGCGGGCACTGTGGTGGGTAGCGGCGATGAGTCTGGAAATGCACTTGTGGGCGAAGGCGGAATTAAGGGTCTCTGGGGAGTTTTTGAGGAGGGACAAGACTTATCCACAGTCAGGACCATTTATCGCACTTTCCTGCACCTCGCAGGTGACCGTCTGAGCCTGCAGAGGAAGGATAGTCCTCCTGCGCGCCCTGGACTCCGTGGTGATTAGAAGTCTGAGGGATATTACTATATGAAGTTCTTGATTACTGACAAAATAAGTGAAATTATTATAAAAGTTATTTTTTTTTGCTGGAAAAATCAGAAACAACTTTTATTAAGTTACTGGTTTTTGTTTGTTTGTTTTAGGTTCGGCTTTAGAGTGTAGTGAAGGATACTTTTCATGGTGCATGGAAGGAAAGCCAATGCGCAGGTAGGCGTTTAGGAAGAAAACCATAAGTTACACTAAACGAAATTCAGCATGTTTAAACTCAAGGCTTTTTTTAAAAAAAAAAAAAAAAGGTTCTCAAATCTTATTAAATTTTGCTTAGAACAAATGATTCTTGTTCTAAAATAAATCATATTCTTCTTTGTTCAAACATGTTTTATGGTTACTGAACTCTATTTAATCGTTTGTTATTTAACAGCAAAGATAACTCTTGGAGCCCTTTTTAAGAGAATCATTTCATGATGAGGGTATGAGTAAGAACTAGGAGCTAGAATCAGAATATATTTCCTTTTCTAGTTCTGTTATTTTCAATGGACCTTAAGCTTTACACCTCTGTAGCCCAGTTTACTTTTCTAGTATATCTGACCAGGATGTTGGTAATTCGTGAATGTTTGCTGATGTTTTGATATTACTAAATGAAAAGATGTTGTGGAAGTGACACATTCTGTTTTCTTATATGTCTTTCTCTACAATAGAAATATTTGTAAAGTACATGAAGAAACATTAAATGCTTCACTTCATTTTCTAACATTGCAAAAACCATTGATTGCTTCTCTTCCTCATCTGCCATAAATATCTTATGTAATTGCTAAAATTAGACCTTTTTAAGGAAAGATAGTGTGTGGGAATGTTTTTGGTTTATTAATAATTTCTATATAAAATATTCACTTAATTACTCATCTCTGTTCTTTTTTTATCTGTTTTTTTTCTTGCTCTATTACATAATACTGTCAGGTATTCAAACTTTTGTTGGATGATTCCAGTGCCATTGTTAAATAAGCTCTTTCTTCATCACTCTCACTTGGCCAGAGGCTGGCCTGCCTGTTGCTCTCTAGTCTTACTTTTACCTGCTGCCTATTAACTTCTGTCACACTTCCCTACCTTTCTTTGTTTGGCTGTCAGTTGCAGCTGCATCCCAGAAGGTAGTCTCTGTAAAATAACGTTGGGTTTATATTCAGCTGCTATTAAAGAAGCTTTGGATGAGAAGTAACTTTATTGAGATTATTTGAATACAAGTTCATTCTCCCTGTTAGATTGGGAGCTGAGTTTCATAGGTCTTTATATGTTTGCACCCCTAACACCTAATGATCACTGAATAATTGAATGAACAGCTTCTGCAGACAATCTGGTAGAGGGCTATGAAAAAGAAGAGACTGAGCTATGCACAATGACTCGGTATACCAGCTATCAAGAGGCTGAGGCAGATGGGTGACAAGTTTGAGGCCAGCTTCAGCAACTTAGTGAGTCCTGTCTCAAAATAAAATTTAGAAAGAGCTGAGGATGTGGCTCAGAGGCAGAAAGCTCCAGTGCCATACACACACACACACACACACACACACACACACACACACACACACAGTTTCAAATTAGTATTAAAGGTATTCTTTTTGTGTGCTTTTTTCCCCACTCAGAATTATTTTGAGTTCATATTTATGGAGTACAGTGTGATAATTCAATACATGTATACAGGTGTAATAGTTTAATCAAGGTAATTAGCATTTCCATCTTCTGATGTGAATTAGTATAGCCATTATTAAAACAGTATGGAAATTCCTCAAAAACCTAAAGCTACTGTATATCCAACTATCACCTTATGAGGTATGTATACAAAGGAAATTACCACATCAAAGACATATGCATTCCTGGGCTGGGGTTGTGGCTCATCGGTAGAGCACTCGCCTAGCACATATGGGGCTCTGGGTTCAATTCTCAGCACCACATGAAAATAAATAAAATAAAAGTATTGCGTCCAACTACAACAAAAAAAATACTAAAGAGCAGATATATGCATTCCCATGTTTATTGTAGCACTATTTATAATAGCTAAGACATGAAATCAATTGAGGTATCCACTGATGGATGAATAGATACAGAAAATGTAATAAACACATGTACACACACAGGAATATTATGTAGCTATAAAAAAGAGTGGAATCTTGTCACAGTAATCTCAGTGGAACTATAGGACATTTTGTTAAATGAGATAAGCCAGGTACAGAAGGACAAATGTTACATGTTCTCATTCAAATGTAGAAGCCAAAAAAAGCTGATTTCATAGAAGTAGGGAATAGAAGCTGGGCAAGGTGGCCCATGCCTGTAATCCCAGCAGCTCAGGAGGGATGGTGAGTTAAAAGCTAGACTCAGCAAAATCGAGGCATTAAGCAATTCAGTGCGACCCAGTCTCTAAATAAAATACAAAATAGAGCTGGGGATGTGGCTCAGTGGTCGAGTGCCTCTGAGTTCAATCCTCAGTACCCCTGCCCTTCCCCGCAAAAAAAAAAAAAAAAAAGAAGAAGAAGAAGAAGAAGTAGAGAATAGAAGAGTGGCTAGGAATTGGGGGAAGGGGAGAGGAATTCAGGGAGGTTAGATAATGGGTACCAAAATACAGTAGATAGGAGGAATAACTTCTTGTGTTTTACAGCACAGTAGGGTAACCATAGTTTACAACACTTTATGATATTTTATAAAGAACTAGAAGAGAAGAATTTGAAGGTTCCCAACACAAATAAATGATAAATGCTAGATATTCTAATTCTTAATTATAAAGTTTATGAAATTAACTGGCATTTTTAGTAAAGTTATTCACTTAAGTATTATGTGTACATGATGCAAAATTTTAAAAATATACTAGCATATTCAGTGAAAAGTGAATCTCCCAGTGTTGATCCCAGCTCCTAGTTTTCTTCTCCAAAGGCAACCTTATACATTCTTTCAGAGGCATTGTAATACATATAAAACATATGAAGAATATCTGCTCTTTATAAAAAAATTGATGTAGGCATATTATGTACAGTCTTCAATAAATAAGTTATTCATATATTTTGCTGTTACAACCAGTTCTGTAGTAAATATCCTTTGTTGTTGTTGTTGTTGTTGTTGTTGTTTTTATGGTACCGGGGATTGAACCCAGAGCCTTATGCATGCTAGGGAAGCATTCTACCAACTGAGTTGTATCCCCAGCCCTGCAGTGAACATCTTTGTAGGTGGTTTTTACTAAAATGTGTAAGAGTAGAATAAATTCTTAGATGTAGAATTAACCAGGCAAAGTAAATGGGCATTTTAAGTGGCTGAGGCTGGCCTTGACTTTGACATCCTCCTGCCACAGCCTCCTGAAACTCTGGGATTACAGATGTGTACCACCACTCTTGATGAGTATGCACATTTTAAAATGTTGGTAGATATTGACTAATTTTCCTCCTCAGAGATTGTACCAATTTGCAATCTTACCAACAATATTATAATAACGCTAATAACATCCTAAGATATTATTTTTAATAATTTAGAGAAACTAAAACATTTTATAATATCGTTTTCCATAAAAATATAAATTGGAAACTGAGTCTAATTCTATTAGAAATTGGCTCATTTATCATCAAGTGTTTATATAATACCTGTATGTGTCGGTATACTGATTGTATACAGATGGAGTGATAGAAACAGACATCAGTATTTTAATAGAGATGTAAATCCTGAGGAGGGAACTTCTGCTCTGTGGTGATGTGGAGAGAATCACAGAGATGGTGATATTTAAGCTGGATCGTCTAGAAAGGATAATATCTTACTTCTGAAGAAGCAAGTAAATTAATGACACCATAAACAGAAGGAAGAATTTGTAAAGAAACGAACGTAATGGAACCTCAAATCAGACATGTATGGAATGTGAGTTTATGGAGTATAAGGTATATGGGGAACGAAGTGGAAACCAGAAAAACATGGAGAACAAAACTACAGCCATGGGAAAGGAAAGGGTTTGACCTTTATTCTTTACATATTTAAGAGCCAATAGACCTTGTCTCAAAATAAAATATAATAAGGACTGATTTTCCTCCTCAAAGATTGTACCAATTTGCAGTCTTACCAACAATATTATAACAGTAATAATGTCCTAAGATGTTATTTTTAATAATTTAGAGAGACTAAAACATTTTATAATATAGTTTTCCATTTTTCACCCTGAGTTCAATCCTCAGTACCACCAAAAAAAAAAAAAAAAAAAAAGGAAGAGGAAGAGGATAGGTTTCAGTAAGCCACGAATACAGTCTGTTTTTTCACTTGAGGATTATTGTGTCTGTATTCAGCTTATAACTGGATTATGGGTCTGGAACTGAAGAGAGATTTGAGCTAGGAATTTCTTTTAAAAATTCTAAGTCATCCTCAGTGGCTAGGGAGGCTGAGGCAAGGAGGATCACAAGTTCAAAGCCAGCCTTAGCAAAAGCAAGGTGGTAAGCAACTCAGTGAGACTCTGTCTCTAAAAAAAATACAAAATAGGCCTGGGATGTGGCTCAGTGATGGAGTACCCCTGAGTTCAATTCCCCATAGCTGCCCCTGCCCCCAAATTCTAAGTCATCAGTATGTAGAAGGTTCTTCCGGCTATTGACATGAATGAGAGTAGAACAGGAAAGGAGAATGCCAAGGACAGAACCCTAGGCAGTGCCAGGGGTGTTTAAGGTGGAACCTAGGAGGAAAACCCAGTAAAAATTCTAAAATGGATAGAGGTGTTAGGTGCTTTGGGTATTATTTACTTGTATCTAGAGATTTTACTGATAACTTTTTGCCCATAGTGAAGATCATATAAGCTATTCCATGAATTTAATTACAAAAGAAAAATATCTATTTAGATCTCTTATCTTTAAAGATTTTCTAAAAGGTATACTTAAAATACTAGAAAATAGATCTGCTTGATCTGATGTCCCCTGGCATGCATATGCAATAGGTCTGCCTGCTCAGCACCTCTACCCTTCCCACCTTCACGAGGCTATGAGAAAATTAAATACTGTGCTCTCCTTCTTAAGCTTTTTTGCATTTGGGGGTGGCTATGTTATACTATGTTGCCCACAGAGTGTTAGCAGAAGTTGCTGAGAGGTATTCTAGGGAGGTTTTCCTGACACACAGGGAGACCAGCTTGCTGACATGGCTTCTTGCCCTTCCTCCTCCTTGCCTTGATCCCTGGCCCAAAGCTTATACTCATTTTATCTAGTAAGCAGTGATGAGGTATCTTGAGGCTAAAACATTCACACTCTTTTCAGATAAAGGTTAGGCAGCCTGGCTTTTTAGTATGAAATCAGAAAACGCATACAGTGCCTGGTGGACACCCTTTATATAAGCAAAACTGGAAGCATAAACATAGAAGAGGGATTCCAGTCGACAGGGAGCACAGTTCAAGTCGAAGGAAACATTCCACATATCTTTGGACTAAGAGATAAAATTTGATTACAAATGCCTTAGAACCAAGATATGTTTTCTAAACTATTGTGTTTAATTTTAAAATTAGCCACTTACAGAAAATGATTCAGTTCCTTAATTAAATCATGGATTAGTAGATCTGAGAGTATGATGTGACCTAATAACTCTGAATTTGAAGTTGACTCTCTCAGGGAGGACAGAAATGTTATTTGCTTATTAGCAAGATATTAAAAAAATTGTAGCATTTCTTTGGTAAAGGTGAAGTAGTAATTAAGATATTTGATTTGTGGGGCTGGGGTTGTGGCTCAGTGGTAGAGCTCTCGCCTAGCACATGCACGCGAGGCTCTGGGTTTGAGCCACAGCACCACATAAAAATAAATAAATTAAATAAAGGTATTGTGTCCAACAACAACTAAAAAAGTTTTTTTTAAAGATATTTGATTTGTTCTTTGGTTCATGCTTTGTACTTGCACATGATTTAATTATTCTCCTCACTGTCATTTTAGGACACATCAGTATTCATGGGATAACCATCTATTTATCCTTGTCTTCCTAAAATCCTGACTTTGACTTCTCTCATTTCAACAGTTCACTTCATCACTCAAAAATCTCCCTGAAATTTTAAATATGACTAATTTGTCCTCTGACTAACCCTTCTTGAATGTATACTCCATGTCTTCTCTGACCAGTCAGAAACAACATGCCTGCACTTTTCCTTGTGGTACCTGGGTAGAATCCAGGACCTTGCGTGAGTTAAATGTGTGCTCTGACTGAGCTACAACCCTCAGTGAGCTACAGCTGCTGAGCTACAACCACTGCATCCAGTTTCTCATCATCACCCAACTCCTTAGTTTGTCTGAGGCATTTCCCAACTCTAGATTAATCCATGAGTTTATATTCTCTTATCTTGGCTGTTGGGTATTGCTGAATAAAACTAACCACAGGGAAATCATGTTGCTGTATCCATGCTCTTCAAAATCATTTGGGCCAACAGTGTCATCCCGCAGTGCTGCTGTGAGTCCTGGTTATTGCTTACTTGTTCCACAGCAGGTATTTCACATCCTTACCCATCCTCATGATCCCATCACCACTCTCACTGGGAGCAAATGACGTGTTGCTCCCATTTTTGGACCTCACAGAAAAGAAATAGAGGCCATGAGGTAATGAACTTCCTCAATTTCCTGATGCTTCCCCAGAATAAACACGTCTTTTTTCTGCATTATTTTCCCTGTTATATCCTTCCTCTGATCTCCCAAGGTGAGCTCTTCTTCCTTTATTCTAAGATTCATTTCATCTGCATTTTGGTTATGTGCACTCCCACTCTTCAGGGATCTTGCTCCAGCATTTATTCTCTCCTCCTTATATTTTTAAATTTCTTTGCATCAGTATTTATTCATTTTCAAGTCCTCCCCTGCCCCAGTAGCAAATGGACATCTTACTATATGTCTCCCCTTTTCACACCAGTTTTCTCCAGAAACACTCCATATTCACTGTCTCTCCTCCTTCATTGATCACTGCCATTGAAAGCTTGGTTTCCCCATCACCATGACCTCGAGGCTCTTGAATACCTTGGGGAGGTCATAGAGTTTGTCAGCAATTTACTAGCTTTCTCCTTAGATCACTGTCTGCCACCATTTTTAATCAGTTTTTCTCTTCTTCTTCTTTCACCACCTACAACTTTTTAAAATATTTTTTTAGTTATAGATGGACACAATACCTTTATTTTATTTATTTACTTTTATGTGGTGCTGAGGATTGAATCCAGTGCCTCACACGTGCTAGGCAAGTGCTCTACCGCTGAGCTACAACCCCAGCCCTCCACCTACAACTTTATCCCTCCAAATTACTGTTATGAGCAGTTTAGTTCTCTTTATTACAATCCTGGTATCTCTAGAATAGAAATCTTTTAAGTCCTGGTATGTCTTTGGCTGGTGAAATAGCTCAGTGATAGATCTTCTCATGTCTTCTTTTCATCTGTAAGAAAAGGCGCAAATTCAAACCATAGTTCTAAACTCTCAATAGTATCTATAGAAAAACACAGCAATTATAGATGGTGGGGGGCCCCTCTGGAAACAGCAGTAATTAACCAGTCAAAACAATAAGTTTCTGTACTTGGTTGGTTAGTAAATTTAGAATATGTGACTAGTTTTGCTGTTTCACATTTTAGCTGCTGTATTTTGGATGTCATAATGTTTGGGGCTGAAAGTCACACAAAGTCTTGATGCAGCCCGGCTTCATCACTGGAATAATTTTTTTACTGCAAGACCAGAGGTAGAGTGGGCTTCAGGGATGGATCATGCCATAGCTAGATGATACCATTTAGATCCAAATTCCTTCTTTCTCTCTCATGTAGTTGCTATTGCATTAGTTTTCTCTCAACCAATCCTTTCTACCACCACTACCAGTGCTGCCTTCTTGTTAATGCCCAGCAAAAGAACCTCTTCCGGAATCATGGAATATAAGTCTTTTCCTTTGTGTTAACTGCCATCTTAGATAAGGGAATGCCATCAGTTAATGATTTAAGAGAACTGAGAATTCATCCTTCAAACTGGATAAATAGTTAAGTTTTCCTTGACGCTTATGGTGGGGTAGAGGAATAAAATCAGAATTATTTTAAAGCTTGAAATAATTGTTGGTAAAATGTCATTACTAGAGTTTATCTTGAAGTTATGTTTTTTATAACTTCTAAAAGAGTACAATATCTGCTGAAGTTATCATTAGTAGATTTTCTTCCCTTTGATTTTAAAAATACTGATTCTTTCACAAACTTGACATTTACTAAAAATGTAAAGTTTTAGTTTTAGTTTCTTTTCCTATATTTTTATAATGTCATTAATTCAGTTTTTGAATAGAAATCCACAGATTGAAAAAGCAAGTAATCTGAGACCCCCTGGTTTCTCTAGTTGAATTTTTACTTGGACAATAAAGCTTGCTCCCTTCAAGCCTTCAAAGAAATCTTTCCTAGGATTCTGCTCCATCCTGGGGAGGGGAGTAGTTAAAGCTTCAAATCAACACCTCACCCCTTAGATTTTTAGAGCATTTATTCCATCAGACTCTAAACAAAGAAGTTGTGAACGTAGATGTGGCAAGGTGTGAATACAATCTATTTCTAGGTCTCCTATTATAATTTCCCTTCAAAAGCACCTGGAAAACATATAGAAAAGAATTACTTTCTACCAATAAAACCTTCTGGACATAATGAAAATGATGAAAGGTGTGAGCTTAGATTTTTTTTTTAAGTGTGCATTTATAGCCAGGCATGGTGGTGCATACCTGTAATCCCAGCAACTCAGGAGGCTGAGGCAGGAGAATCCCAAGTTCAAGGCCAGCCTCAGCAACTTAGCAAGACCCAGTCTCAAAATTTTTAAAAAAATGGACTAAGGATGTGGCTCAGTGGTAGTGAATCCCTAGGCTAAATCCCCAGTCCCCCCCCCCAAAAAAAGTGCATTTAAAAGATGAATAGCACAAATACAGGAAAAAATAACTTTCTGTATAGAATTAAGTACAACTTCTTGTAATATTTAAAATGAGGTGCCCCTTAAATTTTCAGCATACTGGTGATCCCTGTTCTTGTGCCCTCTCATTCTCCTAAAAGAGTAGTGTGGTATAATCAAGTGGCTATGTGTTTGCTTTTTCTCCCATCAGAGAATAATAGCAACATAGACCAGATTTCTAAGGTCATTTCCATTTTAAATACTCAGTCCCATTGCCTAAGAGAGTTTGGGATAATAAAACACAGAATTTGGAATAAGAGGACCTAACATTCAGCATTGTCATTCCTGGGAGGTTCAGAAGGTAATTTCCCCAAGATTATACCTAGTATGTGATAGAGCATAGTGGTTTGTCCGATGCCTGCCTGGCTTCAAACAGAGTACTTTTTCATGAGAACTAGATAAGTAAATTGATGGGTATAACTTATTTTGACAAGAAAAGTTGAATTCATTAGCAATTATTTAGCAGGTCCTGGACTCAGATATTAAAATAAAGGAGTGAGCAAGTGGACAAAAGCATTTGTCCTCACCAAGTTTACATTCTGGTTGGGGGAGACAGCCAGTGTATTATGTCAGGAGGTGATATATTCATGAAGAAGGGTAAAGGAAGTAATTGGAGTGAGAGTTGGGGTTTCATATATGGTGGTATGTAAGTTGACAATTTAGCAAATATCTGAAAGAAATGAGGGAGAGAGTTCTGCAGATGTTTGGGAGAAGAACCTTTCTGGAATAAGGAGTCAAGCTCTTAAGTAAGAGGAGCTGGGTAACAGATTATGCCAAGTGAGGAAGCACAGTTTGCATACTTAAAGCTTGTACAATTTATAGATGTTGAAACATATATATTTTGCCCTGGTTCTATAATTCAGTGTTCATTGAATTTGGGTAATTTACAGACACTCTTCCAAGGAGTGAGAACCTGTCTCAAAACAAACAACAAAAATGAAATAAAATAAGAAGGGCTGGGGAATGGGCTTAGTGGTATAGCATCCCTGGTTTTAATCCCCACTACAAAAACCAAAACAAAATAAAATACTATGTCAATTTTTTCCCTCATATCCCTTTTTAAAATAAAATGATTATTTCAGCCTCGGAACAGTATATCTTTAACACAGGTAGGCCACACACACTTGAATATGCAGTTTATAGTCTTCCACAGTGATGGAGAAAAGTATCAGTGTCAATTCCCCAAGCGCCAGTGTCACCCTACCCCAAACTGTTTACTTAAAAACCAAAAACAATAGCAGCAGAAAAATCTTTGAGGGCTGGGGTTGTGGCTCAGAGGTAGAACATTTGCTTAGCAAGCAGAGGCACTGAGTTCAATCCTCAGCACCACATAAAGTAAAAGGAGGACCTTGTGTCCACCTGTAACTAAAAAAATAAATGTTTTTTTAAAAAGTCTTTTTGAATAATCCAAAAAAAGAAATGTTCTATTTCTTTTCCTTTTTTGTATCTTTTGGCCCTTGTGGCTTAGAACTTTAAATCTTTGACCAGAACTCTACATAGTGACTTTCAAACTCATTTTATATAACCTGCAATTTACAAAGGGAACCAGTTATGAAAACATATGTGAACGTGTATATGCACACAGTTGAACATACTTAACTAAATGTATGGAATGTATGCCAGTATTTTCTCATCCTATTTCATGTTTAATGCTTCTTGTAAGGCACTGAATTTTTATAACTAAACTTTGTCCCTATTCATAACACTCTTATTAGGAAAATCTAAACTTCTAAACTGCCAACAAAACTCAAACCTTTGGAAACTGCTTACTTATAAATTAAAAAGTGTATGTGGGTTTATTCTTTTCTTCTGTAATCAGAGTAAAGCTTCACTAATTCAGACTGATCTGGAGGGAGAATTTGACATAATGTAGTTTTTTGTTCTGTTTTATTTTGTTTTGGTTTTTGTAGTGGGGATTAAACCCCAACTCAAACGGGATGCTATTCCACTAGTCCATCCCCAGCCCTTCTTATTTTATTTCACTTTTTTTTTTTTTTTTCTGACAGGTTCTTACTCAGTTGCCCAGGTTGGCCTCAAACTTGGGATTCTCCTTCCTTAGACTCCCGAGTCTCAGGGATTATAAGCAGGTACCACTTGCTCAGCACAAAGGTGTGCTTTCAAATGAGGCTCATTGTCATATTTAATGTTTCCAGACCCAAATGAATCTCAAACAATCTTGCTCTAAAGACTCTTCTTTTTTAATTTTTTTAATTATAGATAGGTATAATACCTTTATTTTATTTATTTTTATGTGCTGTGTGCATCGAGCCCAGTGCCTCATACACGCTAGGCAAATGTTCCACCACTGAGACCCGACTCTACAGGCTCTTAAGAGTTCTGCTAACAGTTACTATTATGGCATTATGTAAAAATGTGGATGTGTAACCGATGTGATTCTGCAATCTTTGTAATGTTTTGAATAACCAATAAAAAAAAAGAGTCCTGCTAAATAAATCAGTACTTTACTGGCCATTTTCTTTACTGTTTTAATATCATGTAAATTATTCTGGTTATTTTCTGATACTTATGGGATTATGTAGTAAAAGTGCTCTGACTTGGAATTAATACCAATTTAAGAGACTTTGAAGAAATTTGAGCTTTAGAGTTCTTAGAAAAGGAATTCTTTAGGGGTGCCTTTCTTTCTCTCAGTAATTGCAAGTTTCCTTACCTCTTGACTTAGGAACACTTTAGTTAGGGCAAAAGAGAGCTTCTAATAATTATCACCTTCTCTCCTGTTCCCCATTCCCATAGGTGTACCAACATTCGCCCAGGAGAGACTGGAATGGACGTAACAAGCCGCTGCACCCTTGGAGACCCCAACAAACTGCCAGAAGGGGTTCCCCAACCCGCCCGTATGCCCTATATCTCAGACAAGCACCCTCGGCAAACCCTGGAAGTGATTAATCTACTGAGAAAGCACCGGGAGCTATGCGATGTGGTGCTAGTTGTGGGCGCTAAAAAGATATATGCTCATCGAGTCATTTTGTCAGCCTGTAGTCCCTACTTCCGAGCTATGTTTACTGGAGAATTGGCGGAGAGCCGTCAGACAGAGGTCGTGATCAGAGACATAGATGAGAGGGCCATGGAGCTTCTGATTGACTTTGCATATACCTCCCAGATAACTGTGGAGGAAGGCAACGTTCAGACCCTTTTGCCAGCTGCCTGCCTCCTCCAGCTGGCAGAAATACAGGAAGCCTGCTGTGAATTCTTAAAGAGACAATTAGATCCTTCTAACTGCCTGGGCATTCGGGCTTTTGCTGACACACATTCTTGCCGTGAGTTGCTGAGGATAGCAGACAAGTTCACTCAGCATAACTTTCAAGAGGTGAGCTGTACGTGGTTGTTTGAATGCATTCTTAACCTATTTGTTGGAAGGACAATATGGGTTCACAGTCTCCAATAAATGACATCTGCTTGGATATTTACTACTGGTTCTCATTCATAATATCAAGTTGTTTTAAATTCTAAACCTGGGTTTTTTTGTTGTTTTGTTTTTTGTTTTTTTTTTTGGTATCAAGAATTGAACCCAACAGAGCTTAACCACTGAACCACATCCCCAGCCCCTGTTTTTATTTTGTGACAGGGTCTAATTAAGTTGCTGAGCTGGCCTCAAACTTGAAATCCTCCTGCCTCAGCCTCCCCAGTTGTTGGGGTTACAAGCATGCACCACTGTACCTGGCTAAACCTGGTTTTTACTTTAGAGGCCAATGTTGTGTTTTGCCAGTAAAAGTCATTTCTCACTAGCCAATTCATAAAGAGTTAATTTATAAACCAAAATACAGTCCATTAATTCATAAGAGGATCTATCGCCTGATAGAATAACTGCAGTCAGTCATTTGCTCAAGGCCTTTTCTTCCTGATTATATGAATTAGTCAGCAGAATAAATTATAGACCAGAGGTTATTTGTGAGTAACCAAAATACCAAGCAATAATCAGAAAAATTTATATGGTATCAAAGAATTTTTCAGTGAACACTATTTTTCACTTATTCATTGAACAGATTTTTATAAAGCCTATTGTGTTTCATCTACATAGGCTATGCAGTAGTAAACGAACACCCGCAGTCTCTACTCATGGAGTTTATAATTTAGCTAATCTAGATGGCTATTGTGGGCCTGTTACACAAATAATTATCATCACTGGGGTCTGCAGAGAAGGAAGCCTTGGGTGATTTGGAAGTGTGTAGAAGTATTTAACTTGGATTCTGGAACAGCTCATGCAAAATTCTGAGACACTAAACAAGTTTGAAGAACTGAAAATAAAACAACCTACTCTAGACCCCAAGACCTGGGGTAGGATATTACCTCATGATTTCACAGAAGGAAGAAGGCCCAATCACACCAGAGTTGATAGACCATGGTAAGAATTTGAGACTTAATCTTTAGAGTAATATAGTTTTAAATTGCATTTCTCTTAAAATAAGCAAAGTCAAACATCTTTTATGTGTTTAAGGATCATTTTTATAATTCTTGCAAATTATGTTTTAAATATCTTTTGCCCATTATTCTATTAAGCTTTTAGAGTTTTCCCCCTATTAACAATAACAACCTTTTATCTATGATATAAATGATATAAATATTTTTTCCAGTTTACATTTGTCTTTCAACTTTGCTTGTTATATTTTTGATCATGCAAAAGTTTTTGGTTTTGAGTTTGTTTTGTTTTGTTTATTGGGGATTGAACCCAGGGGTGCTTAAGCACTGAGCCACAACCCAGTACTTTATAATTTTCATTTTGAGGCAGGGTCTCACTAGTTTTCATACAGCCTCACTAAATTGCTAAGACTGGCTTCAAACCCACAATCCTCCTGCCCTAGCCTCCTGAGCCACTGGGATTACAGGCATGTGTCACCACACCCAGCAATTTTTGCTTTTTTTAATGTTGTCAAATGTATCAGTCTTATTACATTTAGAATTTCAAGACAGAATTCAAAAGCCTTCCCCTATATCAAGTTACAGAAAAATTCACATAGATTTTTTTTTCTACTATGTATGTGGTCTGTTTATCTTTGTGTATTGTGTGAAATATGAGCCAAGTTTTGTCTTTTTCTAAATAGTCAACTAGTAGTGTGAGGTAGTCTATAACTCAAGGTAGCATCTTTATTATGTACTAGATTTCTGTATGTATTTGCTTTTGTACCTTTGTATTTGACAATGTACTCCACTGTTTTCTGTAATGGTTTATTTATTAAGGCTTTACAATATATCCTTACATGTGATAGGCCTAGTTTCCAGTGGTTTCCAGCTTTCTTGCTTGTTTACATGTGACTCCCACCACCACCACCCTGCAGTGCTGGGCTATGCATGCTGAGCAGGTTCTCTTGTACCTGAACTCTTTTTGCATGTTTATTTTCCCAGATGATCTTTAATATCACCTTATCCAACTCTAAGAAAAAACTTATTTATTTATATATTTATGGAATCATATTAATCTATAAGTTAAGAACAGTCCTATATATGATGTCATATCAAAGAACAAGATTTCATTTCTTTAACTATTTTGAATCACTCAGGAATGTTCTATCGTTTTCTTCATGTAGGTTTTACAGATTTCTTTTTTAAGTAGATTTGGGGTTTTTTTTTCCCCCTCTCCTATTTAGTTTTTCTCCTCCACTATATCTTCTAACTGGTTATCATTAATTTATATGAAAGTTACTTACTGAATTTCTTATTGAGTTACTTCTACCATTTTTTTTTTAAACTGGGAATTGAACCCTGGCACAGTGGCGCAGGCCTGTAATCCCAGTGGCTCCGGAGTATGAGGAAAGAGGATCAGGAGTTCACAGCCAACTTCAGCAACTTAGTGAGGCCCTAAGCAATTCAGTGAGACTATCTCTAAATAAAATACAAAATAGGGCTGGGGATGTGGCTCAGTGGTCTAGAGCCCCTGAGTTCAATCTCCAAAACCAAAAAAAGAAACTGGAAATTGAACCCAAGCACACTTTATCACTGAGCTATATCCCTAGCCCTTTTTGTTTTGTTTTGTTTTGGGAGACAGTCTTGCTAAATTGCCCAGATTGGCCTGATCTTGTGGTCTTCCTGCTTTAACCTCCTGAGTAGCATCATCAGCATATACCCTGTTCTTGATTCTTTAGAGTGTTCTTGGCATCCTGTCTTATTGTGTGCATATTAATAGTTTATATTTCTTATTTTTCAGTCATAAGTTGATTTTTTTTAAAGTTCTGCTTTAATCATAACTTTTTCTTAGATCAGAACACTATTAACCATAAGGAAATTCTGCAGTCTCTTCTAGTTTTGAGCTTGCCTTTCAAGGGAATTTGATACATACCATAATGAAATTGCAGTGTATTAGTCCACATAGGTGTAAAACAAGGATCACCATTTGGAGGTTAACACTTATGACACATTTAAATTACTTCTGAACTTTATCAGATTTATCCTTAATTTCCTTCTGTTTTATTAAACCTAGCCTAATGCATAAAAGTGTCATTCTTATTCAGAAACAAATTTTTAAATTGTCTTTAAACTCAGCAGCACAAAGTTCACCATATACTCCATTAGAAAAAGTCTAGGTGACTTTGCTTATTCACTCTGCTTGTTTTTAGCTTTGTTCATTTCTCAAATAGTATCTGCGTTCATCTGAAGAAACGGAAAGCAAACTATGATTACCATAATAGTGTGGGTCTTAAAATTCAATCTCCTCTAAACTCTTAGTTAAGAAAAAATTTTAATCATGTTTTCTTAACCTGTCATTTGGTTCAAGGATAGATTTCAGTGTTAGATTTGCCCTGATGATATATTACTAATATCTATTTCTTGTTGCTGAAAGAGAATTGGCATTTTAGTAGACTTTGTCTATCACCAGTATTATTTTTTTACTTTCTGCTCTTATTTTATGCCAAATATATTTTTACACAAATTTTCATGCCTTCCTGCTATGTCATGTTTTTGTTAAATAATTATTAGTATCATAGTGGTTTATTCATAAACTTTAAACCTGGTGATATTTCAGTAACATTTGGTTTTTAATCAATGTGTTGGGAAAAGGAAAAAATCTTACTCTTTGACAAGAGCTTAAAAGAATGTTAAGACACTTTACAAAGATACATGATACCATACTTGTACTTAAGAGAGGACATCAGAAAATAAAAAAGGGGAAAGGAAGATTCAGCCATGGCTAAAGTTGTGCTTGATATGAAGCCAACACACTAGGAACTAGACTCCAAACAGTTCTCGATGTTGTAGCCCTCTACCCACTCCCAACACAGGGAAGCCAGATAAAACAGTGCTGTCCATTAAATTTAAATTCCAGAAAAACAACAAATAATTTTTAGTATAAGTATGTGCTGTATTTTTATTTGCTAAATCTGGCAACCCTACTACAAAGAATAAAATGCAGCCATTCTACTTATTGTTGCCTGACTAAGCAGCCTTAGCTAATATTTATTTCCTGAACCCTGGAAAGTATTTCACAGAGATCATTTGAAAACTTGAGCTATTAAAAGGTATAACTGACCTAATGGCCCTTAACTGTTTCATTTTGAGATTTGCGTTTTTTCTAATGTGTTTGAGGAAAACGACCAAATATTCAAATTATTGTTATAGCCTTATATATCCTGCTAAATAGTCGGTTGACTTTGATGAGGATGAAAATAACCCAATCTCAAGAGAAACCTTGGTCTGCCTCAGGCAGCACAGGGGGAACCAGCTCCCGGCCAATCCTGCTGGACCAGCAGACATTCCAGGTAGCCCCGTCTGGAGGGATGGAGCAGTGGCCGCTACCTTTTATGCTGCATCCTGCCCTTAGTCACACCCTGAGGAGTACACTCAGGAGGGCCTGGAATCTGTGGCTTCCTGCACCTCCATCTTACAGTTCCCTAGACTTGAGTAAAGATAAATCCTGGCAGTTTGTAGTTCTCATTAGAATATGTATCAGGGTAGTGTGGTCCTCAGAGGTTGGTCTCCTGCTCTCCTCATATTCATGTTGCAGAATTGTAGGCAGCCTCATTCTTTTTTTAAAACTGACCCCTTAGTATTTCTACCCTAAATACTGCTCTTTATCAACTAATCTTCCTCTGAAAGCTTTTCCTGACTCTTTATGTACCTCTGGACATTTGTGGAATTTTAATTGGATATAGTTAATTTGGCTTATTTTGATCTTTAAGGGAAAATGTCATTTTTCTTAAATTGTTTAAGTTACAAGTGATTATTTTTGTAAAATTTTGATTGTGATCTCTATACTTTATTTTTAAACCTTACTTCAGATATTGTTTTAAACTTACATTCCATTGTGGAATAGTATTGCCATATAACCCTGAAGAAAAATTAAATCAAATGTGCTCATAAGTTTTCTTTCTTTTCTTTTCTTCCCCCGCCCCCTTTCTTTCTTACCTAACTTTGAACAGGTAATGGAGAGTGAAGAGTTCATGTTACTTCCAGCCAATCAACTCATTGATATCATCTCTAGTGATGAGCTGAATGTTCGAAGTGAAGAGCAAGTGTTCAATGCAGTGATGGCGTGGGTCAAGTACAGTATTCAGGAAAGACGCCCTCAGTTGCCCCAGGTAATACTAGAAACACTTCTCTAAACTGCTTTGTACCAAAAGAAACAGTATGCACTTGTCTTGCAAAAATGAAACCCTTGTATTAGACTCCAAGACAGTTTACCTGTTTCCAAGGAAGTGTTTAGAAGCATTTGAGTGCTTATCATAGTGAACTTTTTACTTCTTTGCTTCCCTTCTATTTTGGACTCTACTTTTGAGCTATAGCACAATTCAAAAATCTAAATTATATAAAATGAACAAAAAGCAAGGATGCTTTTCCGATAGCTTAGAAATCCTATTATACCTTGAATAATAAATGGATAAATTGGGGCAGGAATGATCTCTTGTTATGAATATACAGTAGTTCCCTTTTATCTGCAGGGGATACAATTCAAGATCAGCTAGATGCCTGAAACCTTCAAACCCTATGTATACTAATTTTTTTTCCTATACATTGCATACCTGTGGTGAAGTTAAATTTATAAATTAGGCAATGTAGAAGATCAACAACAATAGTAACAATTACAGCAATATACTGTGATAATAGTTATTTAAAACTTACATTGAATTGTTTATTTCTGGAACTTTCCATTTAAAATTTTCTGCCAAGGTTGACTACCAGTAACTGAAACCGCTGAAAGTGAAATTGCAGATAACAGGAGACTATTATATTCTTTAGTAATTAACAGAATATTTTTTCAGATTGTGAGTGAATTTGAATACAGTTACAGAAGAGCTTGTAACATTGTTAAAACTTAAAGTAACATTCTAAAGTGATGTTAGTTTTATTTCAGTCATTTCACATTACTGACTTGTTAGTTAGAATAAGTCATTTAGTTTTAGTGTTTGTGCCTGTCATCCTTCTTCCTTGTTTATCATGTTCAACTAGCTACCATAATACTTGGAAGCAGAGTAGGGGAGCATGGGTCTTGTATTTCCTTGACAATATTATGGGTAGACTTCATGCCTTTAGTATTAATAGTATTTCTTATCTCATAGGTGCTACAACATGTCCGTTTGCCCTTGCTTAGTCCCAAGTTCCTGGTGGGCACAGTAGGCTCTGATCCTCTCATTAAAAGTGATGAAGAATGCAGGTATGAGTGGCCCTAGAGGAGAAAAATAAACATAATGTTTTCTTTTAATCTCCTATTGCTTCTAAAATGTTATATTTCTTAGTGCTGAAACCGGGGCGGTATTTAACAGGTTTTTCTTCTGGGCTAGGGTCAAGAGGAAGAGAATGAAGAAGAGAGGACTGAGCCTCCAGTATTCCATTCCGTTAGTTTTTTATGTGTGGTGCTTATTGGTGTAGAAGTGGCAATAAAGAGGTAGATTTCTAAGATTTTAATGCTAGCTTGACTTTGAAGAGGCAATCTCTGCTTTTTTCTCTTGAGATAAAGTGGACAATGCTGTTGACTCTGTGTTAGTAAGCACTCTTTCATTCCATCACATACGTCTTGTTGGGAAATAGAACCAGACTTGCTTTCTAAACTGTAGACAGAGTTAAAGAGTTAAAGACCAACTCCTAAAGTATCTTTGGAAAGATTTCCACTGGAGCTAGTTTCCAAATGTTTTTTGACTAAAACATAACAAAACAAAAAACTATTTTACTAGACTGTCTCTGTAACAGACACAAAATTTAACAAATTAATTTTCCAGTTTGAAATATCTTAAGATTTAGGTTCAAGTCTGAAACCATTAAAAATGAAATCATTTTAAAAAATTTTTTTCCAATTATGAGGAATGTTCTAAATATAAAGGTGAAAGAACAAGTCAGTACTCCTTAAAACTGCACTCATCTCTGTGCCTCTCTTGCTGATGAAAGAAATTTGGGATTAATCCTAATTCTATAACAGAGGTAGGACATGCAGATTCACTGCATTTCTTCTATAATCCAAGGCCTGTTGTTTAACAGGAGATGCTACAGGGGATTTTAAGATATCTTTTAAATTTTAATTTTAATTAATTCCCCTAAATATTTGCAATAGCAAAAAAGGAAACCATATGAATTATATGCACTGAAATCTGAAGAAACAAAACACTGATAACTCTCCTCCTTTATTAAGCATAATCAGATCATTTTAATTCTGATGTAGAAATTTAATGATACTTGTGAAGTTACTTTTAAAAGAGCCTTCCTGATAGGTTAAGACCTCACAATTTATTAATTTTGTGACCTTGAGCAAGTTACTTTAACCTCTCTGTGCTACAGTTTCTTCATCCAGGAAGTAGGTTAATAATAGTGCCTATTCCGTAGGGCTGCTATAAAGATTAAATGAGTTAATATATATGAAGCATGTAAAATAGGGAGCAGCATGTTACTACATTGTTGTTACTATTAATTTTGCATTGGCTTTCTAAGTATTAGCCCTGTAGTGCTCTTTCTAGGAACCCTTGACTAACTTAAAAACTGGCAATTAGGAGATCAAAGTCTTTCAAGTATGGAGCTTGAAAAAACTTTTGGTTTTTGGGGTGTTTTTTTGTTTGTTTGTTTTGTTTTGTTTGGTGTTTTAGTGACAGGGATTGAACCCAGAAGGACTTTACCACTTAGTCATATCCCCAGCCTTTTTTATTTTTTCATTTTGAGACAGGGTCTGGCTAAGTTGCTTAGGTCCTTGCTAAGTTGCGGAGGCTGACTTTGAACCTAGATCCTCCTGCCTTAGCCTCCTAAGTCTCTGGGATTACAGGCATGCACTGTTGCTCCTGGCCTTTTTGTTGTGTCAATTTTTGTTTTTAGAATAGATAACTCAGACGGAGCTTTAACAAAAGCTTATGTTGGAAAGTGCATTATTGAGTGATTCCTGGGACTGGTCTGACAGGAATAAATTAACTCTTTGTAACATAAATAATAAGAGAAATCAAAATATAGAGTATTTTAGGCAACACTTTAGTTAAGGAAGAAGAGAGGAACAGAATTTGCAATAAGAAGGCACTGTATTACATGAAGGACTCAAGTGAAACAAGTACATACACTGATAGTTTGTTTTAGAGTACTGTATTCACAAGCATAATTATCAGGTTCTTAAAGCAACTTAATTAGAATAAATTTTTATTCATCTCACTGTGCTTGTTAAGATTAAATTATTCATATGATACCAGATAATAAATTAGTATTAAGTAACTCTAGACTATTTCTTTTTAGCAATCCAATATTTGACCCAGTTCTGTTACCTTAATTAATATAGCAAGTATCTAGTACCCCGGCTAATGTGCTGCTTTTCCAGTATTCTGCAGAATCTAATAAAACTCATTAGAAAGTAGTAACTATGCAAGCTGGTAATTGAGTTATAATTTTTAGTTTTTCATAAGTTATTGTTGGCTGTAAGCATGTTGAGCTTTAGGCTAAATCTTCACTGAGATATTAAGTCATGATGGAAATCCGATGAATCCACAATTCATAGTGTGACTGGCATCACTGCTTCTATGTTTGTGCCAATTTAACATTGGCTGGCATTCATGATTTGATTTGATTTATGCTTGCTCCCTTTTGCCAATGTATATATTCCTAAACCATATTGGGACTTGAATGGCAATGTTATTTCTACATTAGAATAAAGGCAAAATCTTTTTTCTACAGAGACTTGGTGGATGAGGCTAAAAATTACCTCCTGTTGCCTCAAGAACGACCACTAATGCAAGGACCAAGGACAAGACCACGGAAACCTATCCGATGTGGAGAAGTACTCTTTGCAGGTTGGAATTTTAATATTCCCATAACTAAGTCAAATATTTTCCAATGTGACTTGAATAATTGTTTAGACACTTGTGATATCGACTGTACATATTAAGTCATCAGGTAGCTTAACTCTAAACCCATAATACAACAGTGGTAGTCTCCCAAAGAGTGATGTATTTTTACTGGGCATGGTGACACACACCTGTAATTCCAGCTACTTAGGAGGTAGACAGGATGATGGCAAGTTCAAGGCCAGCCTGGGCAACTTAGCTAGACCATGTCTCAAAAGAAAAAATAAAAAGGGCTGGGGCTATAGTTCAGGGGTAGAGAGCCCTGGGTTCAATCCCCAGTACTGAAGAAAAGAAAGAGTGCTCTATTTTTATACTTCTAAAAATATCCTGCAGGTATGTTTCGTTAAAATGAGTCATATGCAGGCTGGGGTTGTGGCTCAGAGGTAAAGCGCTTGCCTAGCATGCATGAAGCATTGGGTTCAAACCTCAGCACCACACAAATAAAATAAAGATATTGTGTCCACCTATAACCAAAAAACAAATATTAAAATTTTTTTAAAAAATGAGTCACATGCATTAATTTATATACCAGTGTGTGTGTATCAACTCGTAATTTCATGGAGTTGCCAAACAACATCACCTTATATGTTATATGACACAGACCCTTTCTTGGCTCTGTTATCCTACATTGAGCTCAAGACAGCATGCTATATTATTTTACTCCTTCTATCTGCCCCTGTCTTTGAGATCTTCCAATTTCATGTGCTTCAGTTCTGCCCTGCAGTCAGCTCCCTTACCCACCTGAATAACACGGAATAACAGCTTTCTTACTATCTATTACAACTTCTTTCATGTTGAGTATCCTTTATCGAAAATCAAAAAATGCTCCAAAGTCATGTCCGGACTCAAACTATTTTGTATTTTGGAGCACTTTCATATCTCAGATGTGCAGATTAAGGATGCTAAGCTGGTGATCTATGCAAATACTTCAAAATCTGAATCACTTCTGGTCCCAAACATTTCATATAAGGGATGGATACTCAACCTGCACTCCAGAATTTTTTCAAATCCTGCTTCATCAAGCTGGCTGTAACTTATTATAGTCTTTTTTATTTAAGCTTCCAGATTTCAGTAATTCCATGCTCTTAGATATGGCCATTGTCTGATTCTGCTCTTCCATTTTGATACATGAAGTGATCTCTTCTTTTCATCAGAGAATTTTATGCAGTCTTTAGGGTACAATACCCTTTCCTTCCTTCCTTCCCCCTCCCCCTTGGCACTGGAGATTGAACCCAGGGGCTCTATTCCACTGAGCTTCATCCCCAGCTTTTTTTATTTTTTATTTTTAGACCGAGTTTTGCTGAGTTGCTGAGCCTGACCTTGAACTTTTGATCCTTCTGCCCAGATTCTGGGATTATAATTGTACACTACAGACTGGGTGACAAGTTTTCTATTTGTGACTCTCCCTAATAAAATCTCAGTTGCCTCTTTTGATTACATCATGATGATTTTCTTTTTGTACCGTGGATTGAACTCAGAGGTGCTTAACCACTGAGTTACATCCCCAGCCCTTTTTGTATTTTATTTAGAGACAGGGTCTCACTGAGCTGCTTAGGGCCTCACTAAGTTGCTGAAGCTGGCTTTGAACTCGCAATCCTCCTGTGTCAGCCTCTTGAGGCACTGGGATTACAGGTGTGTGCCACCATGCCTGGCTACATCATGATGTTGATGAAGCTACACCCGCTTCACCTTCTTCAGAAGCCTGTTAAATTGGATCTGTTTCATGGTCTCATTGTTGGTTATTGCTGATTTGGTGTCTGGTTCCTCCACTGTATTATCATTAAGTACTGAGGTCAAGGACCATTTCTAATTCATTCTCATAGTTTCCAGATTGCATTTTGGACTTGTCAGAGTAGGCACTCACTGAAGAATAACTGAACATGAGGAACTCTAGTAAGAAATTAGCCCTGATCCTTCAAAAGTATTGGAAAAAGAAAAACCAAAGTCACATTCTAGCAGCAGTAGTAATTTATGAATTCACTTATATATGAAAGATGGCCTATTTTTGTAGGTTTGTGGGTTTTTTCAGTGCTGCAGTCAGATAACCTACTTTTAAAAAAAACATTTTTTTCTCACTATATAAGTAAATGTGCAAGTAGTATAGAAATTTTGATTAGCACAGAAAATATAAAGCAGGAAAATAAAATCATCTGTCACCTTTCTTACACTAGTCAGGTTTCATTTGTAGAGAAGAGCCATTAGGTCTTTTCCTTTACCACCAGTATGGGTTTTCTGAACTCTATTTTTTTTTTTAATACTGGAGATTAAACCCAGGGGTGCTTTATCACTGAGCTACAACTCCATCCCTTTTTGTTTTTTGAGACCAGATCTTGTCGTGTTGCTAAGGGTCTTCTTGCTAAGTTGCCCAGGCTGGCCTCAAACTTTGCAGCCTTCTGAGACACTGGAGTTACAGGTGTACACCACCAAGCTCAGCCTGAACTCTTTTTTTTTTTTTTGGTACCAGGGACTGAACCCAGGAAGCCACATCCCCAGCCCTTTTTTTATATTTATATTTTATTTAGAGACAGGGTCTCTCTAAGTTGCTGAGACTGGCTTGGAACTCGTGAACCTCCTGCCTCAGCCTTCCAAGCCACTGGGATTACAGGTGTGTGTCACGCCCAGCTCAACTCTGTTCTTGACCAACACTGTTCACCAACATAATTTAGATCTGGACCCATATGTCTATAATGTTCAGTTTGGGTTTTTATTTTTATTTTTTTAATCTTTGAAATGCCAAGTCACTAATTTTCACATATCCTTGGAAAGTGGAATCCATCTTTCTTCATCACTCTGTGGAAATAAACACTGGAAGCCTAAGAGCAGATGTGTAATCTCAGTAGTTTTTGACTCAGGAGCCTTTTACATCCTATTGATATCTTTGTTTCTGGCTTTTCCTCTTATTTTCTCCTAGTCTTATTAACATCTGTCAATTTTCAATTGCCTTCTTTAACACTTTTTGACCAAATCTTTCTGAAGTGCTTCTTGTTAGTCAACATCTCATATGTATAAAACTGTTTATCCCCTTTCCCCAGTGTTTTTTCTTTAGTATGCTGCTTAACACAAATTGAGAGTTCCAAGAGAGGGACTTGGATTTTGCTAGCTACAGTGTATAAGTCTCCTTGGGCTACCATAACAAAGTGTCATAGCCTAGGTGACTTAAATAATAGAAATTTATTTTCTCACAGTTCTTGAAACTGGAAGTCTAAAAGCAAAGTGTGGGCAGGGTTGGCTTCTGCTGAGGCCTCTCTCTTCAGCTTGCAGAGGGTGTCTTCTGTCTCCTTTTCACATGGCCTTTTCTCTGTGTGCAAAGGTAAAAAGAGAACTCTGATGTCCCTTCCTCCTACGTGTACACCAGTCCTAGCAGATAAAGGACTCACTCACATGACCTCATTTAACCTCAGTAACTTCCTGAAAGGCCCTGTGTCCAAATACAGTGGTCATGGGGCTTTGGCATCCACTTGTGAATTTCGAAGGACAGTCCGTAACACCAGTTATGACATCAGTTGCTGCCTTGGAAATCATAATGCACAGATGAATTGCCACAAGGCAGTGGAATTTAACAAACATTTTCTTGCTTTCCTAAGTCACATGAAAGATTTAAATTTGGTTTCCTAAAGGCCTATTTTTCCCTTTGGTATTGAACATCACCATTTATGAAATATTTATTTGGTTTGGAGCAGTATAAAGCAGTGAACAGCTGTTAGGCTATTTGATAGGTCTCAAGTATTGTAAACCCTCGAATTTCCAGTCTGACTTTATTTTAGAGTTAAGAATGCTTTCCCTGATACTGAAATTCCTGGTATATATTTAGTTACAGAACTCAAACTTAAAAAATTGCTATTCAAAAAACTTTCTGTGATTTAGTATTAGTTGTATATTCTGATTTAAATGAAAGCATAATAAAGTAAAATTTGTATATCACATTGCAATTTGAACTTTAAAAAGTGAATTTTTAGATTTATCTTGAAGATGACTAGGAACATTATTGCCCTAGTAATCTGACTCAGGAATTTACCCGAGACCCTAAGAAACAAGTCATTTTCAAAGGTTTAGAGGTTACAATACCATGACACTTTATTTTTTAAGAATCCAGCTCTTATTTTGGATTGAAATAGAGATGATTTAAAAGAAAAACATGTTAAGCTAGGCATAGTGATACACGCCGACAATCTCAGAACCTCAGGAGACCAAGGCAAGAGGATCATAACCAACCTCAGCAACTTAGTGAGGCCCTGAGCAACTTAATAAAACCCTGACTCAAAAAGTAAAGAAGGGGGCTGGGGCTGGGGCTGGGGCTGTAGCTCAATGGCAGAGACACTGGGTTTGATCCTTAGCACCACATAAAAATAAACAAAATAAAGGCATTCTGTCCATCTACAACTCCAAAACAAAATTAGTTGTTAAAAAAAAAGTACAGGATGTGATTCAGTGGTAGAGCACCCCCAGGTTCAATCCCTGGTTGAAAGGAAAAAAAAAAAAAAAAAGCAAATTAAGCTTACCTACCATAACTCTACCTTTTTTTAAGGGTCATTTAAAGGAGCTTCACGGAACTCAGTTTGAAAGTGTTATTTTGAACACTACCTACTCTATTAATATGTTCAGTCTGCCATAACAAAATACTGGGTAATTTAAACAAAAATAAATTTATTTTCTTACAGTTGTAAAGTGGAAATCCATGACCAAGGTCCAAGCCAACTGTCCTATGGCTGTAATCTACATTTTAATCTGCTTTTAGACACATTTGTTAGTCCATGCTTTAGGTCCCAGTGAGTCTAGCAGGGATATATTCTGCCTTTAGGATAGGTACTCTCTTAACCTTCTCTTTCCTTCCCAGTTGGTGGTTGGTGCAGTGGAGATGCCATTTCCAGTGTTGAACGATATGATCCTCAGACCAATGAATGGCGAATGGTAGCTTCAATGAGCAAAAGGCGATGTGGAGTTGGGGTCAGTGTTCTTGATGACCTATTATATGCAGTAGGAGGCCACGATGGATCCTCTTACCTAAATAGTGTTGAAAGGTGAGTGAGGCTAATTTTAAATATTTTCATTTTAGATGTCAATCCAGATGTGACTTCTTTACTATTTCACTATGGCACCAGTTAGCAACCTAGACCACTTAGCATGACATACAAGACCTTTATGAACTCACTTCCCCCTGCTTGCCCAGCTTCTCATTGTCATCGCTGTTCTCTGTACATGCTACTGCAGACCCAGCAAGTTCCCTGCAGTCCTTTGGGTGTGCTGTGTTTTTCATACCTTTTCCCTACAAGTAGGCATGCTCTTCTTTCTTCCCTAGAATATCTCTGTCCCTTAAGGACTTAGAAATCCTTCAAAAACTCAAGTGTTTCTTTCTACATAAAAATTTCTCTAACTATACAGAAGAGTTATTCATTCCTCTGCTCCTCCATGAGTGTTTTAAACATGCGTGTACATATCACATCGTGCTGTAATTGTGTGTTGAAAGTCTGTTCCCGTTTCCACGTGCCACAATGCCTAGCACACCGAAAGCTGTCTTTGAGTAGCTTCTTGTTCTCACACACCTTTTTTCATTCTACCATGTTGATTTATTGTGGTTTTTTATATTTACATAATACATCTATGAAACCCTGTAGCATATATGAGCTGGGGCGAAATGGGACAGAGGACTCCGTTGAATGGGGCAGGTTGCAGGGAAGAACTCTTAAAAATAAATTGATGAATAAAAGAAATCAGAGTAGAAAAAATTGAATATTTGTATTAACTTAACAGTTAAGCCTGTCAGGTCAAAATATATAGAATGTAATACAAAAGCAAAGGTAAATGAATGTTAGCTTATATTAATTCATACAACTTGTTACCTGCATTTGAAAATAAGACAGATGAAAAATGAACCCTGTGTTTAAATCAAGAAGGTATACAACAAAGAGCAACAAAACAGAAAGAAACAAAATAATGAGAAAATATTAACAAAATTGAAAAAATTAAAATTGAGAGAATTAGGGCTGGGGTTGTGGCTCAGTGGGTTAGCACTTGCCTCACACATGTGAGGCACTGGGTTTGATCCTCAGCACCACATAGAAATAAATTAACTAAAGGTATTGTGTCCATCTACAACTAAAAATAACTTTTAAAAATTGAAATTACTATTGGGTGGGCATGGTGGCACACACCTGTAATCCCAGCAGTTTAGGGTGCTGAGACAAGAGGATCACAGGTTTAAAGCCAGCCTCAGCAATGGCTAGGCACTAAGTAATTCAGTGAGACCCTGTCTCTAAATAAAATACAAAATAGGGCTGGGGATATGGCTCAGTGGTTGAGTGTCCCTGAGTTCAAACCCTGGTACCAAAAAAATAAAATTAAATTGAGATAACTGTAAAAAAGAGCAATTTGATAGTTTTGGGTTTAGTTTATTTTGTTTTTGTGTTACTAGGGATGACAGCAAGGGCCTTCAAGTTCTCTACCACTGAACTACACCTCCAGCCTAATATTTATTGTTTTTCATAGCAAAAATGTCAAACAGCCTAAGATTCAGTAAGAATTCCTACTGATGTTAGTAGGAATATGATTAAAAAATGGATGGCACATACTGTATAATAAAATACTTCAGGGGCTGAGATTGTGGCTCAGTGGCAGAGCGCTTGCCTGGCACTTATGAGGTGCTGGGTTCAATCCTCAGCACCACGTAAAAATAAATAAAATAAAGGTATTTATAAAAAAAAATAATTCAAAGGAAAAATTCTAGAGTTACATTAGCATAATAGATGTCAAAAATTATTGAGAGAAAAAAATAGTGCTTACTATGTGGTATTAATATATATAATTTTATGTAAAAAAATGCTTGTGCATAAAGAAATACATATGTAGGTACTTATTTGCCTTTTTAAGAGCATTTTACTGGAAAGTCTTGAAGATATGTGCCAGTTCAAACTGGATAGAGAACAGATTTCAGGTGGAACTCCAGGGATTATAGCTTTATCAATAACATTCTGATTTTTCAAAAAAGAAAATATACTCATATGTAACTTGTTTAAGTAAAAATAAATTTCAGAATATAAAAATATAAATTAGATTTTCAAATGCTTCAATTATTAATCCACCCATATTTTGGGGAAAGAATATATAAATCCTTTGTTTTGAAATATGTAAACATAGCCAAGCTTCCATTATGCAGTATAAGCTCTGCTCTTGATATGTTCCTTACAGATATGACCCCAAAACAAACCAATGGAGCAGTGATGTGGCCCCTACAAGCACCTGCAGGACCAGCGTGGGGGTGGCCGTCCTCGGAGGCTTCCTATATGCTGTGGGGGGCCAGGATGGTGTGTCTTGCCTCAACATTGTTGAGAGGTAATTTTTTTTTAAAGTCACTTTCAATTAAAAAAAAGAAAAAAACAATTACAGCTGAATTTAGGACACTGATAGATCCACTATTTAGTAGATTTCCCATACGTTTTCAGGAAAATGTTTAAGTCTGGAAAGATGAAAGACATAAAAAAGATTTTTAAATTTTATGTTTAATCAACAAATTAAAAAGTCCATGTTGAACAACATGATGTTTTAAAATATATATACCATGTAGAAGACCTAAGTCAAGCTGAATGACAGCGTATTACCCCAAATACTTACCATGTTTCATGGTGAATGTACTTAAAATCTCACAGCAGTTTTGAAGTATTTAGTATATTATTATGAACTGTAGTCACCATTATTGAACATTAAGTCTCTTGAACTTATTCCTGAAATTTTGCATCCTTTGACTGCATCTTCCCAATGCTCCCAACCCCTCACCCAGCCTAGTAGAGAATAGAGCACATTCTGCTTTCTGCTTCTGAGTTAGACTTTCTTTTAGATTTCACATACAAGTAAACTTGTATAAAATTTATTTTTCTTTGCCTGGTTTATTTCACATAATATAATGTCCTCCAAGTTCAACCATGTTGTCACAAATGACAAGACTTTTCTCTATTAAGAATAAATGCTTGGGCTGGGGATGTGGCTCAAGCAGTAGCGCGCTCGCCTGGCATGCATGCGGCCCAGGTTCAATCCTCAGCACCACATACAGAGATGTTGTGACCGCCGAAAACTAAAAAATAAATATTAAAAAAAAATTAAAAAAGAATAAATACTGGGTGCTGGGGTTGTGGCTCAAGTGGTAGCGCGCTCGCCTAGCATGCTTGAGGCACTGGGTTCGATTCTCAGCACCACATAAAAATAAAATAAAGATATTGTGTCCACCTAAAACTAAAAAATAAATATTAAAAAAAAAAGAAGAAGAAATCCTGGGGCTGGGGTTGTGGCTCAGAGGAAGAGCACTTGCCTAGCGTTCGTGAGGCACTGGTTCAATCCTCAGCACCACATAAAAGTAAAATCAAGGTATGTGTCCACCTACAACTAAAAAATAAATATTAAAAAAAGGACAAATTGCTATTGCATGTGTGTGTGTATGATTTTTTTATACTATTGTAATTTAAATATCCAGTATATCTTAGTGTTATTTCAGACCTTATGGAAACAGCTTCACTCAGTAAGAACATGTACACATCCTGGTCTCTGTCACCATAGGTATGACCCAAAGGAGAACAAGTGGACTCGGGTAGCGTCAATGAGTACCAGAAGACTCGGCGTGGCTGTGGCCGTGTTGGGAGGGTTCTTGTATGCCGTAGGTGGCTCTGATGGGACATCTCCACTCAACACAGGTTAGTCCCTCCCAGAGGCCTTCTGGTTCCCCCCAAACAGCACATTTCCCTGAGGAGACTCCCCCTACAAAAACTATTGAAGGTCCAGGTTATGCTATAGTTTACTAGGAAAATGTTTTCTCTTCCTTCTAGGAAGATGCAGCTCTTAGCTCCTTCTGCATCCATACTCTTGTATACTTTCCTGAAGTGTTTCTTTCTCCCTTGGCTTCGCAAACTGATGAACATTTATAATGAATTAAAACTCCTTTCTGAAAAATTATTTTCACCTCCCCCCACCACAGTCTCCACCTCTCCAAAAAAAAAAAAAAGAGAGAAAGAGAAAAGAATAATATTACAGTCTGAGAATAAATAAATAAAATTTTCGAACCACAAACTTTGTGTATCATCCTTTCTGTTTAGAAGCAGTAGGCGTCTTTGCCTAAGGATATTGCCAGTGGCACTCTCTTCAGACCCCGATCACGATCATGTAGCTTGTCCTCTGTTGGGTGGCTTAAACTACAGGAGGCTATGAGCAAGGGAGGCTGTCTATGCCAAAATAATGAGTAGTGAATGGCATTTATGGCTCCTGTAGTCCGGTCCCCTCTGTAAAGGTCAGGAGAGCAAGGCTGAGGCTACCATTGCTAATTAATTATAGCCAAAACGAGAGCTGGAATGTCGTGACTCCAGCCCTTTCCACTCTAACACACCTGAGGACGCTAGTCTGACGAGAACAGATGTGGTTTTGTCCAAAGTCCACAAATCCTACTCAGAAGCAAGTATCAAATTGCTTCTTGGAAATAAGTGTTATCACTGTTTCAGGAAAACTTGCATGAGAGGAAGCAGTTGAGTGGTCACATCTTGGTCTTTCTTTTCCCTGCAGTGGAGCGCTACAATCCTCAGGAAAACAGATGGCACACCATAGCCCCTATGGGGACCCGGCGGAAACACCTGGGATGTGCAGTGTATCAGGACATGATTTATGCCGTGGGAGGGAGAGATGACACCACAGAGCTCAGCAGTGCTGAGAGATACAACCCCAGAACGAACCAGTGGTCTCCGGTGGTGGCCATGACATCCCGCCGCAGTGGAGTAAGTGCCCAGCTGCCAGGAGATTGGAGCTGTGGAAACCAGGCACCAGGGGAGCACGGTGATAAGGGTGCGCTGGTCTGTGAATCCACTCTGCTGCCACAGGGGGGGAGGTGACCTGCTGGTGCCTGCAGGTGTTAAGTCTTCAGCTGTGTCACCCGATGCTGTGGGGTGCTTTAAGACAAAATGATGCCTGCTGATTTTATACTAGAAAAAATTCTTTTGATTGCTTTCAACTCTAATAATTATCTTATATCCATTCATTTCTTTTATTAGACAATTAGTTTCTTCTGATTTACTTTGAATCAGGTCATTCTCTGGAAGGCATTTCCCTTTATTACTACTACCTTCTCTAACTTCAGATCTGTTAGAGCACAGTATTCCTACATAACATTTCTAGCTAGTAGTCCAAAAATTTACATACATTGTATGCAGATATTTAGGCAAAAATGTACCTGCCCCACCCCCCACTAGTCTCCATAGCTGGTTTGAATCAGTCCCACCCAGAAGAGAGGCCAGATCTGGCTGGCCCATGTCATGCTGTAAACCATTAATGACCTCTGGCTACATGCAGCTTCCAGAGTGGAGTACCCAATTCACCCACCCTGGAGCCAGGTGCAGTGGTGCATGCTTGCAATCCCAGCAACTTGAGAGGCTGAGGTGGAAGATTACAAGCTTGAGGCCAGCCTGGGCAACTTAGTAAGACCCTGTCTCAAAATAAAATAGCCCAGTTGTAGAGTAGAGTGCCCCTTGGTTTAGTTCCCAGCACCAAAAAAATAGAATTCATCCATCCTGGAACATTTGGCTTACTGAAATGTAACCCACATGTAATGACCATGTCAGGAGTCCATCACTATAGGACGCAGCCATAAGAGAAAGGACTGGAGACTCCACAATCTGAGGATGAAATGAATGAATTCAAGTTTGCAGAGATCAAGGACCACAGTGGGAGGTGTCAACAAGTCAAAGCACTCACATGTGGCTTTTCATTACTGGTAACTCGACAGCTTCTTAGTCACATTCCTGTTATTTTCACTGCTATATCCTGTTGACCATATTTTCCCTCATTTAGCAAGCCTTTATTAAGCCTTCCTCGCTGTGCTGAGGAAGCGGGCTTCTCTTCAAGGAACTCCTAATTTAGGGAAGAAAATTGAAAGGTTTGCCACTGACTGTAATCAGCTGATGCAGCAGCCACAGTGGCGTGCTATTGGAGAGCACGGCTGGAGATGCCTCGGGTTGTGTGGAAATGCATCCGAGTGGGCAGGTAGTGAAGCACCCAGGGACAGTCCACATAGGCTGGGTCATGAAGAAAGAGTAAGGTTTTCCAGGAGGGACAGAAACACCAGTCAAGAAATGACATGTGCAAAACCACGGAGGTATAGAAATGTACTTAAAAAGACCAGCAGTTAATCCAGTATTTCTGCAGCATGAGTCATGAAGAGGAAGAAGGGGACAGTTTAGGAGGCTAGACATACAGTGGCCTACAATGGGTTCCTGAAAGGCCTGAGTCACATAGTAAGGACTTCAAACTTATTTTTAGGGGGGAGGGATGCTTAGAAAGTTTTTGTTTTAGGAGGCAGAGGTGGGAGGATTCCAAATTGGAGTCCAGCCTCAGCAACATAGCAAGACCCTGTCTCAAAACTAAATTTTAAAAAGGCCTGGAACGCAGTGGTTGGGTGCCCCCATTTCAGTCCGAAGCACTGTGAAAGGGAATCTTAGTAGCAGTGTAGAAAGTGCTTTAGAGCTGGCGGGTACCAGAGGAATTTAGCAGTTCAGGCCTTAGTGCTTGCTTCTAATGAATGTTTCTTCTAAAATTTAAGAAATATGTTTTGGATTCTCTAAATATTGTAATTGAATATATAATTTTATGGTTCCCATATTTCACAGATATTCATTGTTACTTTTTTCCTCTGTGTTCAAGTGAACCAGGATGTAAAACCATAAAGAACTAAAGAGATCAATGTAGAAGCAGGGCTGACGTCTCCCAGTAATTGTCTAGCTCTTCAGCAGCCACTATGCTCTCGTTCTGTAGGTGGGCCTGGCCGTGGTCAATGGACAACTTATGGCCGTGGGAGGTTTTGATGGCACAACCTACCTGAAGACTATCGAAGTGTTTGACCCCGATGCCAATACCTGGAGGTAAACCTAGGCTGTGTGCAGTTCTGCTCACTCTGACTCTGACTTGAAATCCTTGAAACTGGGATGGTCAGGGCTTTGAAAAATACCCACTGTTGTACTCTAAAGAGGGCTGAAGCCCAGCATGGTGGCTCACATCTGTGATCCCAGTGGCTCCAGCAGGAGGCTGAGGCAGGAGGATCATGAGTTCAAAGCCAACCTCAGCAAAAAGCAAGGCGCTAAGCAACTCAGTGAGACACTGTCTCTAAATAAAATGCAAAATAGAGGATGGGGCTCAGTGGTTGAGTATACCTAAATTCAATTGCCAGTACACCCCGGCCCCCCCTCCCCCGCAAAAAAAAAATGAATCTGATAGAGGCCCTAAAATGCCAAATTGTCTTAGATATTATAAGAACTCAAATTTGTAAGAGTTAGTTCTCAAACTTAATAAAAAATATTTTTTAACTAAAATTCTAATTCTTCCAAGACCTGGGTATGGTAGTATATACCTGTGATCCCAATTAAGCAAGACCCTGTCTCAAAATTTAAAAAGGACCGGTGAAGTAGTTCAGTGTTAGAGCACCCCTGGGTTCAATCCCCAGCACCATAAAAAAATAAAATAAAATAAAATAGTCTTCCAAGAAATCAAATTCACCTTCCAAGCAATTAAGGGTTCTCTTTTCCACAAATTGAGCTTCCTTGCCTCAGCAAATTTTAAAGTTCCCAGCTCAGTGACTGAGGCAGAACATCAAACAGGGTGACCTCACGTTCTCATCACACTCCGGGAGGTTCTCAGGTCCATCCTGAGAGACAAGCTAAACTCATCTCAGAGGTCATTCCCACTGGGTCCCAGTGAATCACTTCATAATGTAGAGCCTGCAACTAACCACCAAGTTTTTTCCTCTCCCCGTTGGATAACTAATACATTCACTGAGTTGTTCCCAGTCTTCACCTCGGGAATATCTTACAGATGTTTAAATAACTTGCTTTATCTGCATGGCTCTCGCAGCTCTGTGTGCCTAAAGTACTAAAGCCAGCCTGCGACACTGGAGTATTTTGTGCTCCAAAACCTCATGTTTTCACCACCCTGTTCATTGAAGATTTACTGAGTATTCCAGGCCCTGGGGATCCAAAGGTGAACAAAACAAAGTTCATTGCCCTCCTGGAGCCAGCCTGTGCTCACACCAGCTGGGCTCACAGGAGGTGGAAGAGCAGGTGAGCAGGAGAGCGGGGCATTCGGAAGCTAGGGAGGAGTCTGCCGCCAAGGGCCATTGAGGGCCTCACTGACAAGGAAACATTCTGGCAAAACCTACTACAAGTTAAAGGTTGCAGGTTTTCATGAATGGAAGCCTCCTTCTCCTGGGATTCTTCCATATAGAGTTTTATATTTTTTGTAAGAATTTATGAGTAAGAATAATTTGGAAAAATTGCCAAATTTACTTTTGCTACTTAATCAAGTGTAATCCAATTTATATAAGGACTTGCTACTCAGTAACCACCACTAGAGTTGTAACATGATGATATCATATTCATGAAATTGTGGAGGGTTGTCTGTAGAGAGAATAATGTCTAAATTTTTGCAGTTATAGATGCCCAGCTTAAAACCAGTTTCACCTCCCTGCTAACTGAGGATCTGGCGTTGTCCATGAAAGTCTGTAGTGTTGAAGATGATCTTGTTCACCTCCTGGCTGCTAACACTCTTTGCTTGACTCTAGTTGTGTTCTCCACAGGATTTGAGAAGAGTCAAAAGAGTGCATGGAAGACAAAGAGATAAAAGGAAACCACTGAGGAAGGCTAGGCAGAGGGAATGGGATAGGAAAGTCAATGTAACAGGGCAAAGTTAGACACAAAGCTACAGGGCAGACAGAAGATTCTCTGTCATTGTTGGGTTTGTTTTTTTTAACTTTTTTTGTACAATTTTTAGAAGCCATTCTAGTTGTAGAGTTGTAAGGTTCTGATGCACAAAGTAAATATGGTGCTCTTGACTCTTTAAACAGCCTGTGAATGAGAGCTTTTCAGTCGGTGTCTGAAATAATTCTGCTCCTTGCCAGTGCTCAACTCTGGCTTCGAATCTTTGGAAGAGTTGTATGAAGCTGGAAATAATAGTTGTGGTGTAAAACATAGACATGTGTTTGAGTTGTGGTTATAGTAGAAACAGTGCTTTTCCCAGCTAGAAAATCTGATTTTGTTTCTATCTTTGCAGGTTATATGGCGGGATGAATTACCGTCGGCTAGGAGGGGGTGTAGGAGTTATTAAAATGACACATTGTGAATCCCATATATGGTGAATATGTAGAAGACTGTCTTGAACCTGCTTCTCTGTATTCTGGAGAGCTCTGACTTTGAAGCTTTGTACAGCTTGAGAAAACATTAGAACAAATTTTATTCTTTGCCGGTGCCTCAACATATGGGAATGCAAATCTGATGACAGTGCTTCACCTGCAAGATGCCACCTTTGCACAATAATTTCCAACTCTGTGCAGAAGAATATTTATTTTTGGTTTTAACTTATCATGGTGTTTTGGTTTGGGGGTGTTTGGGGCTTTGTTTTTTTTGTTTTTTTTTTACTTATTCTTCCTCCCAAGAAAAGAAGACAACGACTACAGTTCCAAGCAGCAAAACTTAACTTTGATTTTTAAGGTATTAACTTAATTTTGAAAATACAAATACTGATAAGGGCAGAAGGGCTATTATGGTCTGGTGGTCATATCTACTGGACACTCCATCCATGTCCTCCACCACTTACCAGGACTCCCAGTGACAGAGATGGGAATGCACAGTGTGTGAACTACTCGTCATTCTCATACTCAGCACCACAAGACTTGAAAATCTAAAATAAAAAGGAATCATCTCATTAAATAGTACAATTCAGAAGGAATATTAAATCGTCAAAAGCAGGAGTCTAATGCTGCAGTTTTCATCAGTGGAAGTTTTCGTCTTATTTCCTTCTAATGAACTTGTTTTCAACTCTAGTTACTAAAGTCTTTTTTTATCATAATATTCTCATGGAGTTTCTGCTAGATCTATACTTTGATCAGTGCCTCTTATAAAAATGGGAATGCATCTCATTTGCTGTCTTGAGACCCCCCCCAACCACATGCAGCTCTGCAAGAGTTTTCACTCACAGACTTACCAGTGGAAGCCACTTCCCTTGCTGTTTCCTCATTGCTGCCCAGGATGGCAGGGAGAAATGTCCTCTCCCCAGCAGTGAATTCTGTTGAGTAATTTACCCTTGATACTCAGGCCTGGTGAAGCTGAGGCTTACCTTTAATAACAGCCTCCAAAGGAATGAAGTCTTCAGTTCACATAATCAACTGAGGCATTTTATCAATATCTGGGTTCTTTTATGCAAACTATACATCATTAGCTTCACTCCATAAGGCCACTGTAACTATTTCTCTCAAATTGCATTTTCTGGTGAAAAGTTAAAAGTTTTTTAAGGAAATAAATGATATTCAGTGGTTAAAGTTTTTTTCCCTCATTATATTCATAGACCAATTCTTTCAATTATTTTGCAGGAAAACCTTTGAATAAGACTTTAACCGCACACTGGGCATGGTGGTGCGCGTCTGTAATCCCAGCTACTCGAGAGGCTGAGGCAGGAGGATTGCAAGTTGGAGGCCAGCCTGGGCAACTTAGCAAGACCCTGTCTCAAAATAAAAAGGGCTGTGGATGTGGCTCAGTGGTGGAATGCTTGCCTGGTGCAAGGTCCTGGGGTCAGTCACCAACACCCACAGCAAAAAAAAAAAAAAAAAGACTTTAACCACAACCAGAAGGAATAACCTTTGCTTTCTCCTCTACAATAAAAGAATAATCTTCACTTTCTCCCCTACAGTAAAAAGTTTGGCAACTTTTGTGTTTACATTTAAAGATCATTTGCACCTTTTTCAAGGAAAAAAAAGTATTTGGTAAACAATTGTTTACATGTATCATTTATGCTTTTTTCTAGCATGTATAACTTTTTTAAATAAAGGTAGTATTTACCATAAATTCTAATGATTGCTTTTTAATGCTTGTAGTACCTTTGCAATTTAATTTGGGTTTTCTATTTCTTTATCATTTGTATTACTTTTATGGAAAGTTGGTTATGAGAGCTTAAACTTGAAAGAACAAAGGTTGCCAGCTAGAATTAGCACTTATTATATATTTTACATTACCTGATCTATAAATATATTTTCTGATGTAAAACTTAGAGCTATACAGTTTTAAGTTAAAAAGACATTTAATCCAAACCCATCTATTACGTTGGTCTAAATCTGAAAACCAAGTAAGTCTACCTAAAATTAAATAGTCAACTAATGACAGAACTGACATTAGATCCCCACCCTATCTCTCTATATGCCCCCCTGCCACTACAAGCCTACCAGGAACATGGCCTGGAACAAAATAAGTCATTAGACTGCTGTAGTGTGGATCTAAAATTTCCCCAGCCCCTGGTACTAGCTGAAGGTGATGAACCCTTACAGGAGTAGGACCAAATTGGAGGAAATTAGGTCATTGGAGGTATGCTTTTGAAGGGGATATTGGGACCCTACCTCCCTCCTCTCTTCTCCATGAGGTGAACAGCCATCTTCACTATATGCTCCTGCGTTCTATGTCTCAACTGGCCAACTGTCCATGGACTGAAACCCCAAGCCAATTTTAATAAACCTTTCCTTGTTTTAGGTGATTACCTCAGCTAATTTGTCACAATAACAGAAAGGTAATACAGACTATAAGTAGTATTTAAGTTAGTCTAGCTAAATATTTTTAAACTAAAAACTTATGAGATCCTTACTATAGTACATCATTATCAGTCTTCAAAGAAAAATCATGTATTTTTTAAGACTTTATGATTGTATATATTTGAGGAAAAGGGAAAAAATGATAAAAGGAACACAGTTCTCTCCTTTAGAAAGTTCCCCATGGAAGCAATTAATATGGCAGTGATTCAAGAGTGGAGAGAATTGGAGAATCACAGCCTGCAGATAATATTTTTTAACCACTGAAGAAGAGGATGCTCTGGAACAAGCTATGAGAGTTGGGGTAGAGTCTTAGAAACTTTGGTAGGAAACAGATGGGGAAAGGAAACAAAACTGAGATGAGGAAAGAAGTACAAGAAAGAAAAAAGACAAAAAGCAGAAGGCAAAAATGGTGCTTCCTGGCCGTGTTAAGTAGTTTTGACAACTGGCTTTAAGTCGAAGGCTCCTCTATTCTGGAAATGATTGATATGAGGGGCCCCTAGAAATGACAAAACTCTTCAAATTGTCTCATTGATTTTTAGTATTTTAGTTATTTAGCCACTTAAGTTAGGAACTTAGATTCTTTTATTTGTATTGTGTGTGGTGCAATTGGACCTAGAGCCTCGTGTGTGCCAGGAAGCATTCTTCCACTGTGCTACATCCCCAGATTCTCTTAAATGTAAAGAAGAAATGGTATTTACTGTACTAACATGAAGTATTTCAGGTTATTCCAGTAACAGTAACCTGTGATTCTTATCCTAGAAAGATGTGTAAGAACGTTTCATTAGGTTTCAATTCCTAGAACAGATTTTCAGTGTGATTTAGATCAAGATCTGGACTTCTGCTAAACAAGAAGAGTCCTTTTCTTCTAAAAGCTTACAGTTGCAAAACTAAGGTTGATCAAGCCTCTAAATCAGTGGTTCTCAAAGTGTGGTCTAAAGACCCTTAAAGTTCCCAAGATTCTTTGATGAAAGAATCCATGAGTCAAAACTATCTTCTTAATAATACTAAGACATTTTTGCCTTTTTTATTGTGGTGATATTTGATGGTGCAAAAGCAATAGTAGGTGAGACTGCTGGAGTCTTAGCACAAATCAAGGCAGTGGCACCAAACTGTATAATTAATTATAGTATCCTTCTAAGTGCAAGATAGACCAATAGATCTTATAGGAACAGTATGATATGGTTTCAGATTTCAACAGACACTTGTCAAGTTTTGATAGACATCCTTATCCAAAGTACACGAATGAAGACATGAATTGGGTGTCAAAACACTTTATATACAAACAGAGATATGAAAAATTGTATATATGTATAATATATATGTGTAAATATATATATACACAACATATGTATATATTTGTTATATAAATATATATACATATATATGCATATATATTTCACATACAAATATATGTGTAAAAATTGTATATATGTGTAATAAGAATTGTACTGCATTCCTGTCATTTTTTTTAAAAAAATCAATTAAAAATTTTCAAAAAAATAAAAAAAGAATATCCATAATTGTCAGGAAAGCTATTAAAATACTCCCTGTTCTAACTTCATGTTTGTGTGAGCCACACTTTCTTCATATACTTCACCAAAGTAATACATTGCAAAAGATTGAATGCAGAAACAGATATGAGAACCCAATTGCCTTCTTTTAGGCCAGAAATTACTGGGATGTGTTAAAAAAAAAAGTAAAAGAATGTAACTCATCACTAATTTTGTTTTTGAAAAAAATCATTTAAAAATGTTAATATGTAGTAAGTTTAATTTTTAATTTTTTAATTTTTCAGTTTTAAATTCTAATATATAGACATCACTAGATATAATCCTCATAACCAAAAGCTCTCTTAATTTTTGAGACTATAAAAGGATCTCAGTGAAAAACTTTGAGAACTACTGCTCAAAATCTTCCAGTTTATAGGAAACAGAGGAGTGAGTTAACATCATAGGAATTCAATGAACAAAATCCAGAATGTGGGAAACTTTACAAATGATCAGTTTCTCTTAAAAATAAATGAATTGCAAAAAAAAAAAAAAGAGTATGAAAAAAGAATGTGTGACTCATAGCATCTAATGCAGTGTACAAACCTTATTTGGATAATGTTTCAAGCAAATCAATAACAAAAATGTTTGAGTTAAAGAAAATTTCTTACTGGGTATTTGACATTCAAGGATTACTGAAAAATATTTTCAGGAATGATAGTATTATGTTTAAGTTATTTTGAGTCCTTTTACAGATGCATGTAAAATATTTGTGGGTTAAATAATTTGGATTTTAGAGAAGTAGAAAGGAGGCAGGAATGTAGATGAAATAAGAAGATCAAGTATTGGTCATTGCTGGCATATGAATTCAGTAGGCATTAATAATATTTTAGTATATGTTTGAAATTTTGCATTTAAAAAATAGTTTTGAAAAACAAGTTTCATTAGGAGTCAGGCAATTCTAAAAGTAATGTATTGCAGTATAAGACATGCAAGGATCTAATTATTTAATTAGCCCAGGAGTGACTCAACAGTTGCCCTGATGAGGATTGAAAGAGCCCTCAGAAAGAAGTTGAGCCTGAGAAAATCTGAAAGACATAACAGTTTTGTTAAGTGGACCAGAGTGGCAAGGACATTCCAGGAAGAGAATGTAGCATGTGTAAATTATACCAAATAAAGGCCACGAGAAAGCATAGGGTATGAGGGGAAAACAAAGATGTCTTCTTTCAGAATGAAAAACAAACAAGCCACTGTGCAGAAATAAGCCAGGAGAAGAAGCAGTTACCATCACAAAGGCCTCTCAACTCAGTAGTTCTTAGCTTTCTTTGCTGCTGCTTTATTGCAATAAGTCTTTTGTTCTGTTACTGTGTGGTGCCCAGGCTCCAAGATGGCCCCAAAGACCGCTGCCTCCTGGTATTCACACCCTTTGTAACCTTCCCCCACTGCACCGGCTGGTCTGATGGTCTGTACTCTGGTAGGAGATGTTAAGGAAGGAAGTTAGCGTGTCAGGGAGAGGGTATAGGAGAAATGCCTGCACCTTCCACTGAAGTTTGCTGTGAACCTGAAATAGCTCTAAAAATAAGGTCTATTTTTAAAGGGAGGAGGACATTTTCTAGTTTTACTTCCAAAACCAGTTTATAAAAAACCAGCCTTCATTTTGTGTGCTTTTTTTCTTTCATCTTTCACATTCTGGAAGAAGTAAATACATGGAAATAGAAAATAAACCCATGAACCTCCATATGCCCATCTTCCAATTTCAAAAATTATCAACATTTTGCTAACCCTTTCTTAACTATTTTCTCCTACTCTTTTCCCCAGTTAAAGCAAATTTCAGTCATGTTATTTCATTCATTCTTGAATAATTTCAATAGATACTATAGCATTATCACACTTGATAATATTATAATTCCTTAATATCATCTAATACCATCAATGTTAAAATTTCCTTAATTAAAGCTTATGCTCCTTAATCAGTGGTGGGGACCTGCAGGGTTGCCACTTTCCTCACGATGGCTTTAGTCTGGACTGTGCCACCGCCCCAGAGCCTCATTAGTAGAGGAGGTCAGGCTGCAGACAGAGTGATGGCAGCAGAACAGAACCCCTGGATGGCTGTTCTGGGAAGCTTTGCTGATGTGCAGCAGCGGACAATGTTCCTCATTAACACCAGTTATGAACATCATTATGACATCATTTCACAGTGGTGGCTCAGCTCCCAAATATATATAGAAAAAGAACCCAAATCCCAGTCTTTCAATGGTTTCAAGACAACCAGAAGTGCCTATTCTTGAGCCTAGTGGATCTCTTGGCAAGATGCCCTGGCTGTGGGGATCTGCCACAAGGCATTCAGCTATGATGACCACCTCCAGGGCCCGTGCCCATGCTTCTCCATTAGATACAGGCAGCATGCCAGTGATCCAGAGCACAAGGATCAACACCTTGCCAAGGCAGAGGAGGGAAAGGCCAGCGTATCCCTCTGCCCTGAACCATCAGTCAACAGTTGCCCACAGTACAGATAAGGTCCCAGGGGTGAAGGTTAAAGCTATCCATGTCATCATGAATTCTGCGATCACCAAACAGACTCAGGACAGCATTCAGTAGGGTGAGAGGTGCTGGCAACATGCTCCACAAAGGCCTTACCACTGGGGAGACCATGTACCTCCCAGGGGCAGAAGCACGCTCCCCAAGCAGAGACCCAGAGGCTGGTTCACTTCTTATTCTTCTACATCCTTACCTGCCCAAAGCCTAGCACCACGAGCCCTGGCATTGGGGAGGACAGAGACTCATCAGATATATGAAGCCTCTTTGGGCTCATATCATATCATCAGATATATGGACCCCTTCAGAAGTCTGATTCTGGAGGTTTTGCCATCCAGACCTACTTAAAAAAAGCCCTCTCCCTGGAGCTGATCCATGCCCAGACCATGCCAATGGCTGAAGACCCAGCAACCTTCAAGCCACCCAAGATGGATGTCCCATGATTGAAGGGAAGAAACAACTGCTGGGTACCCACAACCTCAAGCCCCGGGACATGCATGCGTTCATACACTCTGGCTTCTAGGGTGCTTTCCATCCCAGGGATACTGGGTGGAGGGTTTCTTGCTCCTCATTCCACTCCTATGAGATAGACATGGTATTTTTTTTTAAAAAAAACTCTTACCTGAAGCTAGAGCTAGAGACATAATTGGTTTTAAGAAAGATTAGTGCAAAGCTTGCCCTTATGTAGAAGAAACCATTTTGTATTGCTTTAAAATCAGACAAAAAAAATTCTCAGCAGTGGCCTGGGGGCCTCATTGCCATTATTATTTAACCTAGACCAGAACTTTGATCTTTGCTTACTAGGTGAATAATGTTTATGCTATTCTAAAACCCAGGCTTCTTGATTCTTCTTACCCCCATCAGCATGAGCAGGGAGATGCCTTCTGAGTTTGGGCCACTTTGGCCTAGATTCTACCAATGCTGTGCTCCAGCCTTGTCAATTTGAGGGACCTAAGGCCTCTTTCGGGTCTGAGCATAGTTAACAGCCAGATTTGGCAGGGACTCTTTTTTCTAGGCTGAAACTGGAGTCTCCTTGCTTTTTGATTAACTTTGTCCTGAAGCCAGTTCTTCATTCCTCCTGGGACCTCCTGGGCCACTGCTGTTCGAGGGATGCTTTCTCTTTTACGTGTCACAGAACAAACACTCATCTTGCATATACTTCCTTGCACTTTAAAGTGACAGTAGTTTAACTCCAATTTGGGTGGAAATGTCCTAAGAGAAAAAATTAAGTCTATGGATATGATAATGATGAATAAATGTTAAGTTTTGTTTTGTGCTGCTGAGGATCGAACTCAGGGCCTCACACATCAGGCAGGTGCTCTTCCACTGAGCTGCACCCACTCAGGCCCCAGATGTTCAACCTTTTTAGAATAAAAGAGATGGTAAGTACAGTTATATTATAGACTTAAGTTTCCTGTAAAATTAGTGTTATTTTGATTTCTTTGTCCAGGTCAGGGCCTGAAACATTTTTGGAGGGGAGCTAGAATGTGGGAGGCCAACCTTATGGGTGACTGAGTTACACTCCCCAGCTGGGTGCTGAGGTGCTCAGTCACAGAAATGGGTGTGTCTTGCAGCCCCATGGGTGAAGCTATGCTCACCTGTTCCTTTGTAATACAACCCCTTGCCCTGTTTAGGATAGAATCTTCCATGGAAGTGCCTTGTGTGGGTCCCTTCCTCTTACTGTGCCCAGGTGTCAGTCAACCTGCTGACAGTGGACATCATGAAGATAGACTCAGCCCCCTGAAACCTGACCCCTTGCCTCATTTGAATAGCTTCTCCTCAATAAAAGGGGTCAGCGTGTGTGTTCTCTCTCTCTCTCTCTTTCTGCAGACCCTTAAGGTCAAAGGAGCCGTCACAGCTACCCCAAAGAAAAAGGTATTTGTGTCTCTTGTGTGGTTATTTCGTGCAGCCCAGTTAGCCCAGTTTAACTAGAGTGACCCCTGAGCCTTTCAGTCGCGAGAACAGAAACCCAGCACTAGAAGAATTAAAAGTTTTCTATAATAAAAGCATTTTCACCAAGATGATTCTCATACCTTTAGTGCAACACATATCCTGAGAAAATGAAACTGAGGAACTTTTTCTTCTCCCTGTACATGTTCATTGTCTTCAACACTATCTTGAATACTTGGTGCTTTCTGTTATGGATAGCATTTTGTTTACATAAGGAGAAGTTGTTCTCCTAGAGAAGCCCTGGAGTCCAAAACTATCAGAACACCTGAGTCTGTTATCTTG